CTAGATGGACCTTCGACCGCGCGCAGTCGAAAATGATGCCTCCGCCATGGAGCGATTTTACAACCCAAAACAGAAGCGAGCTATTTTTGCATACATAATGAGCCCTGTAACCTTTGACATTTGGCCTCGTTACCCCAAAATCTATTCAGTTCATTGGCTCTGCAAGATAAATACATGACCCAAGTTTGGCGGGAATCCATCAATGGGTTCTTGAGATAACGCGTTCACAAGCTATTTTTGCATACCTAATGAGTCCTGTGACCTTTGACATTGGATATTGTGACCCCAAAATCTAATTAGTTCATTGGCTCTGCAAGATACATACTGACCCAAGTTTGGCGGGAATCCATCAGTGGGTTCTTGAGATAACACGATCACGAGAACGGAACGTACGTACGGACGGACGTACAACCCGATAACATAATGGCCCGAATTCACAAAGCAAGGTTTGTCCTCAGACCATGGTTTTCGTACGTCATATGACGCGTTTTAGACCTTGGTTCAGACCTTGGTCTGAAATACATTTCACAAAGCAAGTTTGTCCTCGGACCATGGTTTTCGTACGTCATATGACGCGTTTCGGGTTTGAGTTCAGACTTTGGTCTGAAATTACATTTCACAAAGCAAGTTTGTCCTCAGACCATGGTTTATGTACGTCATCAGACCCGAAATTTACAGACTGCTCAGAAGGGAGGTTTGTAATTTCTCAAACCAGGTTTGAGAGCTATCAACCAATCCGTTTGCAGCACTGGGTGGAGATAATTTATGCTCGATTGATTTCTCCAAATAATTCACCGCCAAAACAATCTACGATACTATCTGGTCAGCCCGATTTTAGTGCAATTGAAATCTCTTAATCTCTCGATCCTTTCCTTAAAATCGTAAGTATAAAACCTGTACATGTAATCGAATCCATACTCTTCACTTTATTGACATTTCATTATGTGATATGCTTTATAACTTTCCATTTACCATGAAATGTTCGGTGTTTTCATATCCGACAGCCTCTCAATTCCAGCGTTCAGGGACCGAGTCTGAGGGAGCTCAAGTCCAACGCCCAAGGCGGCGGCGGAGCTCGCACCCCCTGACCCTGGGCTGGAGTTGGGCCTAGCCGGGCCTAGAGTAGACTATATCTGAGTATGACTGTCATGTTTAATTTTGTCTTGTTGTCAACAATGCCATGACACATGCCAATTAGACTAGGCCTAGACCTACACTAGTTATTACAAATTCATGATAATGATAATAATACCAGGCTCTAGCCTAGGCCTGGCAATGATGTCCATCACTTGTTTCACTGGTACCTAAATAGAAATTGAAGTGGCATCAGCAATGCCAATGTTCCCCAAAATGAATCGCACTGACAAGCATAGACCAAAAGCTTCAGTCTCTCTATATCGCCGGTTGTTCCACTGAGACTACGTCTGGCTCCACTAGACCTCCAATTATATAATTTCAACAAATGTCAGTTTTATTAAAGAAATGACCCATATCAGATGGTTATTTCTGTTTATGACAAGCAAAGCTTTTAATAAATTTAGATCTGGTTCTAATTGTCTTAATTAACTTGTCTTGGTCTCCAGAGCCAGGATCACCCACAAAGTCACAAGCACAAGTAACATTTCTTTATTCTAAAAACTTTGTTTAAACATTTGTTTCATTTTATCTTCACTCCAGTAAAGATGGTATAAATGCAGCTGATTCAGCATAATGAGCTGGTGTACCTGGAGGAAGAGCTGGAGCAATATATAGCAGCACAACAGGGCAGAGGCCTCTGAGATTGGGAAAACCCGGTGGAGGATGAGCCTTTTGTTTTAGATTGAGGTACTTTGAATTCAAATTCTGTATTGGGAAAGTTGCCGAAAACATGGCCAAACTACTTGATGAATATTGTTAACATAGCTATAAAAAAGGGCTTCTGTTGTAAAATCCAACTCTAGTGTCGTTATTAAAATGCAGAAATATTTCAATTCATGTTGACCGCCTAAATTCACTGTTCGTTTGCCCCGCTCCGCTGGTCTGCCTACGACCGTGCAAGCCCCCAATGCCATGCACATGTGTGTTTACATATATTTATTCAATTTATAAGCATTTTCTGTCATATTCCATACATTGATAGATAAGTTATGATATTTATTCTTTCACATGGTAGGTGATGAAAGCATAATTTTCATAATTTGTGTGTGGGGCATTTCCCAATACTGTTATTTGGCTTTAATACATGAGGAAATTATTAAGATTATGTGTTGGAAACAAGTTTGTGATTTGTTGTTTTGTGTACTTAAATTTTTAAAAAGGTGAAGCCGTGAAGGAGATTAGAAAAGGCATGGACAATTTTGTCTTTTACGTTAAACTGATTCACACCACATCTAGAAATCAGGATAATTTTTTTTTAAAGTGACAGTGACAGTTGGGGATGCAAAAAAATAATAGCATAAACCAGCAAAAAAATTATTTATTTGAATGCTTGTTTTTCCTTTTTTTAAAGTTGATATTCATTGATTTCAAAAACTAACTTTATTTTCATTATTGCAAAGTTGAAACTTTGATTCGACAAGGTTATCAAAATTCAATGCTTGGAAACATTCGAAGTAATGATTATTATAAATTACAAAACGCTTAAATACAGCCCCGGCATAGCACCGGAAGAGCTCTCCGAATGCTGCTGAGATGTGTGAGATCACAGTATGGACATGGCTTGCACAAGCAGACGATGCCCCATGACATCTCACACATTTCCAGTGCCTGTGTTTTCATCTTTTCTTGAGTTCTTTCTCTTACTTCACTACCGTCAGGCTAAATGTATAATCTATTGCCTCACTCTTAACCCCACGCATGGTTTTATTTTGATGACAAATGCAGCGATACAAAAATACAGGAATCTGTCGCTTGTAAACAAAATAAGACGCCATTGTATATTCAGCTGCACACACCGGGGTATGTTCGGCGTTTCAAGAGGGAACAAATGCCGTCCTTAATATCATTCCGGGGGGTTTTCAATTTGAAAGTCTGGTTTCTTTGATTGTTAATTAACCCCTATCCTGTGTATTTACAAGCAAAAGATTTTAGTTATCAGAATCGGGTCATATCCCTTTTGAATGGTTTGACATGCCATTACATTTATATACACTAAACTCATTATAATTTGACAAATAATAGCTTTGAAATTATGTTCATTCTCTATGGGATGTCGTCTGCTTGGGCAGTGTTGGTCCATATAGTAACGTCATTAAAACATCATTATTTTTCCGGCGAATCTCTCGTATATCCCAGCTGCTATGGAGGTGGTTGTATTTGTATTTTTATAAATCACCCGATATGTAGTTGACCTATAACTTGTACGATGGCCATCTGTTAGCTTACCAGTTTCTAGTGATACATTAGTTGACATATTTGTGATTTTCTTTGAATTTCACCTTTAAGGGTAATTTGATCTAAAGGATGCATGGTGAGGAGGCGGCATGCCGTGTCACATTCATCTCTTTGCCGAATGGAGAGTAGTGAGGAATGTTTCCGAAGCTGTTGTCAGAAGAAAGGGACAAGTCATGAAGTTTCCTACAAGTTACAAGGCAAAGAGTGACTACTATTCAGAAGCAGTTTTTCCAGTACTGCAGATTTCCAGGAGTTGTGGGTGCTGTTGATGGGACACATGTTTACATCAGGAACCCTGGTGGGGCAAAGAGCCAGGTACTACTTCAATAAGAAGAACAGGTACTCCATCGATGTTCAGGTGAGAATAAATGAATACATTATGACTGGATCCAGCACGGCTTTCCCTTTATACCTTTTTTTTGTAGGTTGCAAAATTTTCACATTAGATATATACACTCTCCAGTCTTGTGTGTTGTACATCCATGCTAATTCATTGGTGACCAATGCAAGATTTCTAGTGGCAAAATGGATATTAAAGTAATATTCCCATACCGGTACTCATTTCACTGCCTTTGTACACAGTTAAGAATATACAATGGATAGTTAAAGTTAAAAATCCTAACACTCGTTAATATCTTTATTGCGAAACAAAAAATGTGACTAAGGGTAAGAACCGAATCAAAATTGTTAGAAAACAAAACGGAACAGAAATTTACTAATTAAGAGGCACCAAAAACGCGACAAAGAGTTAAAAACTCAGAATTTAGGGCACGGTGACTTAGCTATATCCAGACAAGATGGCTGCGAGAAGAGAGAGGAAAATTGTGTGCGCGCGTGGTGCGTACGTGACGGTATAGTGGTGTCTTTTGCCTCAGTCACACCTTTGAGTATTTGGCTTGCGTATTGCTGCATATTTATGGCAAGCCGTTTTAACATTTATTCCTATTTCTTGATACCAAGAAATTAATTCTTTATATTAAGAATAACGAATTAAGAATCAAGAATTACCAATGCTTTACAACAGAAAATCATTTCTTAAAATCAAGAAATAGGAATAAATGTTAAAACGGCTTGCCATAAATACGCACCAATACGCAAGCCAAACACGCAAATATATGACTGCATGAGGCATTAGGGGTGGGGGTATGCACAATTGTGACTTTTTTTTCTCGATGGCTTGCTTGTCTGGAGGACTAAGCAATAATAGGTACCGGTAGATACGTTGATATATTGTGGTAAATTACGCCTTGCTATGTTTCTTCACAGGTACAGGATTTTAGATTACATAGAGACAGCGCCCTCTAGACTCACCATTGATGACCTCTTGCCGTTTGAACTCCTTTGGTTTGAGTTTCTTGATGACGTCTTGGTCGATCTTCTTCTGCCAGTTAGGAGTGTTCATCTCAACCTCCATGTCCGAGTCGTCCTCCTCAACAACTCTAAAGTCGTGACTTCGACTGAGGATTAGAAACCAAGCATTCTTAAAGTTATCAATCTGGTCATTACTATCAAAGCATAAGATGACGTAAGATAAAATGCATTGGAAATATGTGAGTACTGAAAATGAAATCCTTCCCATCGGTTTAGCAGATTGCATAAGCCTTCATGTTTGAATCCCCCCTATGTCTTTGGGGAATCTTGACTTCGACTGAGAAATAGATCCTGAAGTTGATCTTGAGTTCTGTTAATGAAAAAAATAAATTCTCACAGGATCAAAACTAACTTTCACTTGTTGATCAAGATTGCTAACAGTTCAGTTCAGTCTTTATATAAACAAGTCAATGCAAAGTGTAGCATCCCCTCGCAGGGTACAAATGGCCTATACACGTCAGAACAAGTTACCTCCATTGGACTATACTATTACATTACTAGGCAAGGAAGTTAACCACATTTTCACATATATAATTAGGTGTTTTTGCATATTTAATGAGCTATGACCTTTCACCTTTGACCTACATACTCAGAAATCAAACTTAGGCTGTACATGTATTTTGATACCATGTACCTTCATATTAAATTTCATTAAAATGTGTCAAACATTACTCAAGTTATCGAATGGAAACCAGATTCGCATATCTAATGAGCTATGACATTTGACCTGCATACTCGGAAATTGAACTTAAGCTGTGTTCTATACCATGAACCTTCATATTAAATTTCATTAAAATCTTTCAAACAATATTAAAGTTATGGATCGAAAACCAGATTCGCATGTTTAATGAGCTATGACCTTTAATCTACATACCGGTACTCAGAAATTGAAATTAGGCTGTGTTTTGAAACCATGTACCTTCATATCAAATTTCATTAAAATCCTTCAAACATTACTAAAGTTATCAATCGGAAACCAGATGTGTATTTTTTCGCATATTTAATGAGCTATGACCTTTGATCTACGTACTCCAAAATCAAACTTACCCTGTATTTTGATATCATGTACATATAAAATTCCATTAAAATCTGTCAAACATGACTGAAGTTATCGATCGGAAACCAAATTTGTTACGGACGGACGGACGAACGCACGGAAGTACAAAAGGAAGGACAGACGGCAGCGTTATTATATCCCCTCCGACCTTGTCGGCGAAGGGATAATTATTTCTGCCTAAAGACTTGGATTTAAAAAAAATGTATAATAGTTTGAAGATCGGTCGTGGTTCAAACTTGAAGCAAACTTCATGTTTACGGTACTATTAACCACCAGCATGTCTGCAATGTCCTTAATGACAAGATAACCTCAAAGTTAAAAATATCAAGCTTAACTTAAAGTTACAGATTTTTTCGTGACCTAAGATTTTCTTACTAGAATTTGAGATCAGATAAGGGTTACTTACTTTGTTGATAGACTTGATGATGAGCTAGTTTTAGATGGTGATAGTACAGCAGCCACGGACTGTCCATCCATAACAACATCACTAGAGAGAGAACGAGAGAAATTATGATCTTGACGAAACTTCAAAACACTTCACAATTCATGCTCTCCTCAGAAACCTAATCCTTGAGATTGTAAATGTACATGTAGGATAAGAATAATTACATTTTCATGGGTCTGAGGGAAACACCCCCTCCCCTCCTCTTTATAATTCAAAGGGACCCTGAAATTCAACAATTATACAAGGTCAATAATAATAAAATAATATGTATAATGATCCACTCATCTCTTTGAGATACCTCTCTTTTTTACCCCTTTTTTGTACCAGGCTTTCCACAAGATAAACATACCGTTGGATTTTAATATCAATCTTCATTGGCAAACAGAGCAGAATGTATTTTGCTTCTCTATAACCAGGTTTATCTAAACATTGAGCATCAATAATTCTAAACATCAATGCATATCTCGGTATATCTTGTACTACAAAGATTTGTAATCGTCCTTTACAATATTGATCTATGTAACTTGTTAATAAATACATTTTTAAAAATTTAAAAATAGACATGTACCACTTTTTTGGAACAAGTATAGGTGTGCTGTTCCAACTAAAATTTGAGATAAAATAGAGCAAAAATAAGCGAGATACTGCTTAATAAACAATGTCATCTAGATTCATGATGTGAACGAAATTCACCTTCCATAGGCATAACACGCAAATGAAGAAATTTCTGACAGGTGGCCTTTAATTGAATTTTGCATTATTTATTATTGCTGAGGGACCTTACTTGAATCAATCTTATTTAACAATGACTTTTTCATAGCTAATTGATAAGATTTTTCTTATCCAAATTGGCAACACTTGTATTTTTCTATGATTGCTATATTTTTTGGTATAAACATTCATGTATCTGAAATACGGATGCATGTATAGTAAACGTGCAGATCATAAAAACCTGCCAATCTAATTTGCATGGAATAACATTGATTTTTATCTGTTCAAGAATTTGTCAATTTTGAAAGTTAATGAATTTATTCTGCCTTTCTTTCAAAAATATATGGTATCAAATGCCAATGGACACATAGTATGTACACTACTTGCCCTTTCTGCTCAATGCATATTTTATATACTAAATCGTATGAATCAAAGTTATTGAGCCACCCCCCCCCCCCAAAAAAAAAGGAGGAATGATGTGGGCAATTGTTTTGAATCAATACAAATAAGCAGGTGCTCTCTTGCAAAATGCTGACCTTTATCTTTAAAAGCGTGTAGGTCAGACGTAGTGTATAAATAAAATAGCCTATTTGTTTATGTTTTAAGCACCCTCCAATGAAGGAAGAGATCATAGATCATGTAGTATATATGAGCGACCACAAAGGTAACTCTTTCTCGGATGCTGCTATTGTGGTCCTTAGTGATTTCACTGATCTAGATACAACCCCGTACAGCGGCATCTCAATGTCGACAAACTTGTCAAGCAACCAACTAGACAGAACCGCATACTTGATATGATCTTTACCGACAGGGGAGATTCTAACAAGGACCTCTGATAACAGCCCTTATTGAAATAATGCCCTTCTGGCTCCAAACAGACTATTTACACTATCTGTGATTAACCAATGATATTGTTTTTATACTATTTGTACACTTTCTACTTAACTTAAATTCCAAATTGCTGCATTAAATCTACATGGGAAGTGGCCCATGTATGTTTGCAATATGTCAGGAATTTCACGAGAAGTGTTTTGTACTACACTGCAAACACCAGGGTGTTAAATTTTGAACACCAGCCCGGAATAGAAAAAAACAACACCCTTGGTGTTAATTTCACGTCCGTTCACGTCCTTTCAACACCAACAGTGTTGAAATATTTAATTACAGGTTGATGTTCCAAGTCTTGGTGTTATACATGGTGTTAAACTTGTGCATGCGCATAAGTTAGTGGATTCAAGCAAAATCATTGGACGACAGTTGTCATATGATATGACGTCGTATCGTGCATGCGCATGCGCGAGCTTGCTGTCAATAATCTCTTTGGGATATCGTGGTTATAGAATTTTTAGTCAAGTGTCGTGGTCGAGTGGTTTAAGGCGCTTGACTTGGAGATGCGAAGGTCGAGGGTTCGAATCCCGACACGACATCAATATCCTTTGCCATTATCATTATTATTATTATTATATTATATTATTATTATCCTATTTCATCAGCGCAATCATGCCGTTAAGTGTGAAAATTTGTTCTGCAGACAGAAAAGTTAGAAAATTGTTACCACTAAATCCAACAGACATCACAGGATTCTTTGAATTGAGTGTTAAATCATTGGTATTGATTTTAACAAAAAAATCAGGATTAAATTCTACACACCACTGGTGTTGAAAGAAATGGTGTTGAATTTTTTAATACCAAAACTAGAATTGAACTTTAATACCAAGTTGAAATAATGGTGTTAGGTTTTAACACCAAAGGCGGAATTACTTTAACACCAGGAGTGGAATTGAATTGTTTAATTCCAAACCCTGGTGTTAAATAACACCAGCTGGTGTCTTCCGATATAGATATCAGGAAAGCGTTAAATTTAACACCAATGGTGTTGAATTCAACACCCTTGTTTTTGCAGTGTAGTATCAGGATTAAAAGGGATTACGAATACTCATTCAATATGCCCATTGTATTTACATTATTGTGCTAAGTGGCGAATGAAGCAAGTCACCAAAAATGCTTATTGGCATTCGCAGCACATAACAGGTTAACAAGTTTCAAATATGCTGGAAAAAAATGTAACGAATACAGAATTACTAAAGCTTTCGTCTTGCATATCAGAGTGTATCGCAAGAAAGAACAGAAACATGAAATTCTGTTCATTCTTGCAATTTAATCTGATGAGTGTAAGACGAAAAGCTTTATTACGTCTCTATTCATTGCTATACGTCAATTTTGTAGTTGAAATTGCACCAAGTATATGATTAACGCTAAATTCTATCAATCAAAATTCAGATTTCAACAAATCACTTGCCCCTTCTGGCTATCAAATTTTTTCCCAAAGTAGTACACAATGTTCAGCATACTCCTTGGTTAAGGGTGCTTGCTCACAGAGAGACACAAGGTGCATTCATTAGTAAACTCATTCACAACCAAAATTAAAGTAAATCCATGCAACCTAACTCTATTTGATGTCTACTGCTGAGAGCCAGAAGGGCGTTAACTCATTGTTGTTTGAAGGAGTTAAAACCCTTCTGGCTCTTAACTCATAGCCTGCCATGAGGCTACTCTAGTTACAATTTGGAAGCAAATCAATCTTTGGCGTAAAATGTCATCTTTGTCATGTTAAGGATTCTCAAACAAAAACATCTCACGTAACAATCATGATACTAATAAGCCAGTTCACGGTTGCAGTCTGAGCATGAGCAGATAAAGGTCATTGCAGAACGAATTGTGAAATACATTGAGACGGAATACTGGATACGTGCTCATGAAAGTTATGTAATTATTATTCATTTATTCACAAGCAGAGCAGTCCATGATACACAGGTGGAAGTATTCTTTGAAAAGGGGACACAAAGGCTGCTAAGTATGTAGCATCTCCATCGCTGTAGGAGTGATTATTTCAAAATGTAACAAGTGGGACCTCTTCATGTTTTGAAGATCTGTGGATATTCGGGGTCATTGCAGCCATGTGCTAACCGTGAACTGGTCTATTATAATCATAGCTATAATTATAATCATTATACAAATTTAATCATAATAATCCGAATGGATGATTACTAAAATGCAAAAATGTGTCTTGAAAAACAGAGGCTGAATGAAATGGTATAGAAATGCATCTATCATCACTCGCTTGTCATAAACAAATATTACTCTATACAAATATGAATCGTTATTAATACAATTCATGTACATTCTGAACCATCACTTTACTCCATTGACTATCTATCAATTGATACATCCAATGGAAAACTAGCAATTATATAAATGAAATGAATTAAAAGGATCTATAAGTTCAAAAATAATTAAAAGAGTAACTCACCTTATTGATCGCTTGTTCTCACTGATTCTCCTTCCTTCTTTCTTCTCTTCTTTCTTCTCTTCTTTCTTCTTTTCTCCCTAGAAATGATACATGAATGAAGTTAGAGGTCAAAGGTCAATTAATGAGTACATAAGTATGGACAAATTGTTTTTGTGTCAAATAGCACTATCCTTCACGTTACAGCATTACAAACAAAAGAGATATTATTTCAATGCTAATTTTTTTTCAATAAAATAATTATCTACCTATACTAAGCAATTTGAGGTGTTTTTTTAAAAGCAATTACCTTAGTTTCAAATTGATACATATTCTTGCATAAGACTTATAATGAACAATGAATTAAATGAATTACTCAAATGTAGACATCAAAAGTATGTTTGGAATTCAAAAAAGAAATTTCAGTTGCTAAACAAAATCTCTCAGTAAAAAAACCTTTGTCGTTTTTATTCATTTTTCCTCTGGTTTCTTTCCACCCAACGACTCTAACAGGATATGGTTTATGTTAACAAGATTATGGCAATAAAATAACACATAAATAAATACCACAAACTATTATTACATACATTGTAATTATTGATAAAAATGTTATAACAAAGATATGGTATTAACAGGAAGTACTTTACAACAATCTATACAAAAGTACATATGTATTTCTCTAACGACGTGTTCCATGATGCACAAAAATACTGCGATGGGAATATACTAAAGAAATATATATATGACTCATGTACAACACAGATGGTTCCACTATGGCGTACTAAGGAATGGATGACAGCCTCTCCGCTTGTAAAGTTCTAGACATGGTGATGGTTTTAAATCTATGACATTAAAAATGTAACAATAGGGAAACAAGTCCACAATGGAAACGGTTGACAGCTATCATATTCAAATCCCAAACAGGTTCAATTGGAAAGCATCAATTTTATTTAAAAAAGTACTTATCACTGATCCTCATAATCATCATCAGTATTATCATCATCAACAAAAACATTCTTATCAACACCATTGTGATCATTACTATCGTTATTTGTCATGCTCCTCCTCTTCCTCAATCATCATCCTCACTATCCTCATCCTACTTTTCATTGTCCTCCTCCTTCCCCTTCTCATCATCATCATCATTACTATCAACTTTACCGTCATCATCACTATCAACATTACCGTCATCATCACCATTAACACTTCTCCCCTAAAATAACATAATGCTTAGATTTTGCTGGGCCTTAAGACGCCTCTGCTATGGCAAATTGAACTTGGAAGACATTGTGGTCATCGGAGTATCATTGTAAGTTTCTTTTAATCAATACAAAGACACAGATAAACTAAAGTGCATGTACTTACAGCCCATCACTATAACATAGTCCACATACTCCAGCAAGCAACGACCACTGGTCACGGCCTTCCTGGCACACTGATAATGACATTTAAGACTTGCACTGTTCAAAGTATGTTCTGATGGGTCCCTTGGTCCGAGAGGGGTAATGACTTTGATAGGGGTAATGACGTAGCTCTTGAGGGGTTGGGTGCCGGGATTAAAGGGGTGCAGGGTGAGGGTTAGGAAGCGGTACAGAAGGCGGTGGGAAAGGGGTGAAGAAAGGTCAGACAGGGGAAGAGGTGGGGGAAGGATGGAGAGTTAGAGGGGTAAATAGAGGGGCAAGGTTGAGAGGTAAAGAGGTCTAGAGGGGTAATGATGTAGCTCTTGTGGGCTTGGGTGCCGGAAGTAGAGGGGTACAGCATGGGGGATAAGGAAGGGGTGTGGAAATGGCTGGGATGGGGTGAAGAAATGTCAGACAGGGGAAGAAAGGTCAGACAGGGGAAGAGGGGAATGAAGACTGGTGAGTTATAGAGGGGTAGTTAGAGGGGTAAATAGAGGGGCAAGGTTGAGAGGTAAAGAGGTCCAGAGTGGTAATGATGTAGCTCCCATGGGGTTGGGTGCTTGGAGTAGAGGGTTATAGGAAGGGGGTAAGGAAGGGGGTAAAGGGTTAAGGCAAGAGGCGCGATGAGGGTGAAGAAAGGTCAGACAAAGGAAGGCGTGGATCAAGACTGGGTTGAGGTAAACATATTCAGGGGGGGGGGGGTACATAAACTTCATCACCATCATAATCATCATAATCATCATATCATAATAATAATAATCACAATGATTGTTACTATCATTACCATTATCATAAGCAGCAGGATCATCATCATCATCATCATCATCTTCATATAGTATTTTACGTTTCTCCTCTTCATAATCACTATCACCATTGCCACGACTGCATTAATCAATAACCAAAGTCACTGCACACGTACTGGTCAATGAATTAGTATCCATAAAAGTATACATAAAAATGAAAATGTTAACATTATGATTGACAGGTGCAGGTCTATTGAAGATGGCTCCACACTAACTTTTTCCAAGGGGGTCAGGATTAAGTTTTAAAGCCCATCTGTACTATTTTGGCCAGGGGGATTAGACCACCCTGCGAGTTCACCGCCAGGTGGTTATCACATCAAATCAGCTCTCAATTTACATAAGAAAAGGGGGATCATCAGGCACCGATTAGGCACTGTTAGATGGCGCAAGTAGCTATAAGTAGTGTAGTGAGCCTCTAAGGACTGGACCCAAAAGTCCTTCGTCAAATTTTTGAAAATTCTTGAGGAGGGGGAGGCACCTGTTAGGTTTGAGCCCTTTCCTTAACATTTCCTACAGTTTTATTGACCCTGATAAAAATGAGGTGCGACCAAATTGTTATCACTATTATTTAATTTGGAAAAGAGAGCAACTATTGAAAACACCATTTGTTTTAATACAAACAAACCTCATGATCTATCTCTAACTAACCTTTAATTTCAGACTTGATGATCGTTTGATAAAATTCATCTTCTTCTTGTGATGTTCAATTTCCAGACTGCTGGATGTGGATTTCTGTAAAAGGGATGGAATACACATGTCTCTCTTCCACTAGCACACCCCTCAACCCCTATCATGCACCCCTTGCATGGTAGGTTATAACACCCTCCATACACCCTGTATGGTAGCTTATAACATCCCTCGTCCTCCCCATACACCCCATGAATAGTAGCTTATCACACCCCTTTGCTCCTATGTACACCTTTCATATAGCTTTTTACATGTAAATCCCTGTTGATACACCACTGTATTATAGCTTATAACATCCCTCAACTGCACCATACAACTTGAATACATACCCCATATATCATAGCTTATCACATCCCTCATCCTCCCCATACACCCCATGAATAGTATACAAATATACATGTCTTGAGAGGTTGTGGTTAAAACTATGCGCAAGAGGTGACTCCAATAGTATTAACGAGTACCTCAAATAGAGGCATGGTATAGATGTTTGGGAAAGAAAAAAAATGTAGAACAAAAAAAATGTCAATTTTTATCTAAAAAGATTTTTTAAAGATTTTGTTTTAATTAAATTAAGATTTAAGAAAATCAAAAATTCAATTAATTTTTTTTTTTAAATCAATTTTTTTTTAAACTCCCAAATAGTAAACCCAAATAGTACTCTTATAGTACTTTCTAAAAATAGTTCAAATATTTCTGGTCATGTGACGAGCTCTCAACCAATCAAAAGCCAACACATTTTTGATGCAGGATATAATAGCTTATCACATCCCTAACTCCCATGATGCACCCTGTACCCTATAGCTTATCACGCTCCTCTTTCATGATTAAACACTCTACAATTAATTCTCTCTCATTCAAACAGCGACGGTGGAACTATGAAAACAAATAAAGTACCAAACTACTGAACCATAAAACACCAACTGATAATAGCAGAAATTATATATTTATGTGGGATGCATGTGAAACAAAATATTACGTTGATGATATGTAATAAGAGCAACAGAAAGTTAAAGTGCTCTTATGGAACTGGAAGGCAAGTGGGAAATGCAAAGACATTTCACAATAATGTATCCAATTCTTACGAACTTGATGAAAAAGATATAACATCAACAAGAAAAACAAAACTTCCCACACAAGTATTCTTTCCAGCATTCCTCAGCTAATAAGAACCATCATCCCATCATCATTTTCTTTATATGCAACATCACCACAAAAAGCCCTAACACTAGCATATCACCATCATGTACACCATCAGAATTTCTACTCCTGCCTGAACATACCAACACACCTAACAAAGAAAATCATAAAATATTTCAAATAAAAAATATGAAATATAATTCCATAAGCAAGGCTTCGCCAAAATAAAACAAAACAAAAAAGACCAAAATAGAAATCAATGAACTGAACAAAAAACAATAATAAAAGAAGCTTTTCATCCCTATTTCATATCACAACAATGAAACAAATAAGCAACAATACAATGTCGACAGAGGAAAATAATATTTCCTTAAATTTGTTGAAAACTGACCAATTTTGTAGACAGTGATGGGAAAATAAATCAAAATAACTTTAAAAATATATCCAACAAGATGAATGGTCTATAAAAATAAAAATCAAGTAGACTGCAGCCTGGGTAGTTCCAAATTAGTAACATATCAATAAACAAAACAATGACTGAATACATCAAACAAGAATCAACAGCAGACTCATATACAATTATTTACAAGGACTGATGAATCTTAATTATCACAAATAGGCCAACACTAACTGATAACGAAAAGTATTAAAAAAAAATACAAATTGCAGACCAATGTGGTTGTTCAGAACTGAGAAATTTTCAATTAGCAATCGGTGAATGACATAAGAAATAACAAGATGAAACATGTACCAATAAAACAAACAACTACTATCAAAGCAACTTAAGACTGAAAAAATCAAACAAATGGTGTTAAGGAGAACATAAAACGTCCCAAAATAATAGAGTGCACATGAAGATCGGTGCTTACTGCAACATAACGTCTGATAAATTTCGAGTAAAAGAGAAGGTTGGTGGGCTTCACAAACAATAAAAGAGAAAATATCTAACAAAACTGTGGGGAAAAGGCCAATACACTGAGGTAAATCATCAACAAAAAAAGTGTCTACAGAATGATGGAACTAAAGAGGACTGTAAAGTTTCAATTAGCGACAGGATAATAAAGTAACAAATGCCAATAGACAACTTGAAACACGAATGAACTGAAGACAGATGCTACTACAAAGACCATTCAGGACTTTAAAGACAAAATGTACTGGTCAACAACAGATGAAAATAAATTAGAAGGGCAAGATAAATCGGAGCTCCCGACATATGTGCTCCAGGGACAATGGCTCCAGGCTTGATTTTGGTCATAGATATAATGTTAGGGTTGCAATTATGTTGTGGTTAGGTTAAAGAGCAAGGGTCTGGGTTAGGACCATTGGGTATGTGTTTGGAACAGAGATGAAGTAATAGATTCTTTGAATTTAAGGCATCCTAAGAGAAGTTTCAATTGTTTTAAATAAGTTTTGGGCGCTTGCACCAAGTGCCGTGGACCAATGATGGCCTGGTGGTAGAGTCGCTGCCCAGCAAGCAGTAGATGGCAGGTTCCAAAAAAAAATCTAACTTTTTTTTTATCAACTACAGATTCTGTTGGGGTAGGATACTGAATGCAGATACTGATTGTCACTGGAGTATGTTTGATACAAACTATTTAAACATCTAACAAGAGACTGTACATGTGGGCCTGATGTAAATTGAATATTTCTGCTCTGCAATGGGACGACAAACTAATATTTACAAAATTGAAGGACAAAAGAGGGCAAGGAACATCTATGGTATGCAGTCAAAGGGACCAACCCTGAAACTGAGAATGGCCGATATCTCTTTAACAACTTTCACAAGAGATTGGCCATTTCCGATCCGGGGCGGCCAACAAACATAAGAAACAAACGACAAAAGATGACATGGAACAAAAATGATGTGCAGTCAGCAGGATTGATCCTCAGATTTGAAACTGTGAAAACCTGTTACAAGAGATTGGCCATTTCTGATCATCCATTGAATAATAAACGAAGCATCAAAAATTGATAATTTAAAACGTCCAACAAGAAAAGCTGGTGTTCTATTCAAATTCGTAAAAAATTATTATTTCCAATGGAACAATAACCTGAACAGCCAAAATGGCAACAGAAAACACAAATGGGCAACAAGCCAATACACTACTAAATGTCGATAGACAGCCTTAAAACAAGAATAACTACTGATCGACATTTCTGCTGTCGACTGGTAAATTTCCATTCATCAAATACAATTTTAAAAACTACGAGAGAAAACACGGGACACAAATGGCATGCAGTCGGCATGATCAAACATAGAACTGATACTGGCGGAGCTCTTGTGAGAAATGAATGTTTGCGATCACTAACGGGACAGCAGACGAGATTAACAGAGGACATGTAACCAAACAATGGCATGCAGACAGCGGGACCAAACGTAGAATTTGTACTAGCCAATCTCTTGTGAAAAATGAAAGTTTGTGATCAGTAACGGGACAACAGACTTAACTAACAGAGGGCATGTAACCAAAAAATGGCATGCAGAGAGTGGGACCAACCTTAGACTTGAGACTAGCCAAACTCTTGTGAAAAATTAATGTTTGCGATCACTAACGGGACAACAAACTAGATTAACAGAGGACATGTAACCAAAAAATGGCATGCAGAAAGCGGGACCAACCTTAGACTTGAGACTAGCCGAACTCTTGTGAAAAATGAATGTTTGCGATCATTAACGGGACAACAAAGTAGATTAACATGGGACATGTAACCAAAAAGTGGCATGCAGAAAGCGGGACCAACCTTAAGACTTGAGACTAGCCGATCTTTTGATGTTTATTTAGCGATCACTAATGGGACAACAAACTAGATTAACAGAGGACATGTAACCAAAACAATGGCATGCAGAAAGCTGGACCAACCTCAGACTTGAGACTAGCCGATCTTTTGATGATGTTCCTCTTCTGTTTGGGCTGTTTGCTTGCCCCCCTGTGGTCATCACCCTGGGACTGGCTGTCCAGAGACGAGGGCGACAGGACCGTGCTGTCCAGAGACGAGTTGGGCAGGTTGTCCTTCTTCTCGAACTGGTCCACAATGTTGGAGACGTCAATGTTCTTGGCGACTTGAACTGTGAGAGAAATAAAGAGCAAAATGTTAACCACTGAATTCTCTGATTCCCATAGGCTTATTATAGAATACCCAAGTTCAGACAGGCGATTGGGTTAAATGATGATAAATGTCTTGTCAAAGGACGTCAGTTCCGGAGATTGGATTCAAACCCCCAACACTTGAACCGAAAATAAACCACTATAACACAACACCTCCACATGCTCTACCGATTTCATAGTAGTTTCCTCCAGAGCTTTCTCATTGCTACGAAGGATCGATCAAGTACACCATGTACTAGTACGAGTTGATAATATTTCTGTAATCTGTTTTGCATTCAAAACAATCAAAAGAAAAGCTGATTTTGAAGCCATTTATAGCATCTATAATTCAAATTACACTGTACCATTAATTAAATAATAAGCAAAAGACTAGAACATTTACAGTTAACAATTAAATTATTCATACTCCTTGTACGTAACTCAAAAATGAAAGGGGGACTGAAAGAATTAGGGCCTTTGTTGAATACTTTTAGATGAAAGCGTTAATATGTCATTCTCAAGAAACATAAATCGGGACAAATCAAATTTCACATACTTAAAATATTACCAAACTTGGTAAGTGTATGAACAATCTAGTTGTTTACTGTTTAATGTCTGTGATACAAATTAATAATAAAACATATTTAGCAAGTAATAATGTTACCATTCATATCATGACCCCAAAACAAAGTAAAACATTCACCATTCATGCAAATAAACCAAAGCTTCAACATAACATTTTATACAGGTTATCACCAACATAATCAAATCTAGTGCAATGCAATAAAATATTTCAGCAATTGAATTGTTTAATTCCCGCAGGCTTACTACAGGAGCCAACCTGGTTCCAAGAATCAATGGGTTAATCTGCAATGTAAAAGTGATGCTCAAAAGTGCTTGCAAATAAATTGAATGACCAAACACTCCCTGGCATGCATCTGGACAGGGTTACGTTCAATCAAAATTCATTCTGGAGTTTCTGCTACTTGTACTACTACAAGTTTCAAACACTGGTAAAATCATGCTTTTCTGGGAAATGACCTGTCTACATTGAACATGTATCATTCACAGTATTAGAACTCAAACTAAAAATGAAGCTAGGGGAGGGGGTGATATCCAAATAAAGAATACCCAGATGAAAATCTGTTTGTTTATGTACGTCTATATCTAAACAGGCATCGAAGCACAGATGAAAAGTTATTACGCTACAAAATTCATCTCACATACATGTACATGTACAGGGCTCTACACTAAATGTTACAAGGAAGTCCAGATCAAAAAATTTACAGTCTGTATGCAATAGACCCTATGTAAAATGTCAAAATTATGGGGATCTGAACTAAAATTTAGGGTGCCCATGTGTCTCACGTGCTTGTTAGTGTTGAGCTCTGTCATATACATGTACATGTATTTAGGTCAAACTAATGACAACAAGAGAAAACTAATATAGTCGACTCAACTGTTCAAGATGCAATTAAAACAAAAAAAAACTCAAACTAAAATGGTGGATTGCAAATTGCAAATAATATAAAAGGCTGCAAACCATGCATATAAAACTCCTGCAATTCAAAAGAAAACATTTCATGCTGCATTTGCAAAAATATAAATCTAAAAAAAGGGATTGAAGACTGGTTGAATTCCTACCATTTTGCGAATCTTGTTTCAATTGCGCTGTATGGATAATGGCATGACGAAGCAATCGAGGAGAAAGCGATACATAATTGATTAGTAAGAAGTACAACAGCAATATTCCAATTACACCCTCTGTGTTTATACTGCAGCATTCTTGAAGATATAGTAGTTAGCATTGTTAATTTCCACGTAAATTTCAAGGTAAATTTCCAAGTTAATCTCCAAGATGATTTCAATACAGTGTGTAGTTCATCCAGTTGGCCAAAGGGATCCCTTCTCACGCCGTTGCTCTCCGGTTCAATATACACATCGTTACATTCACCTTCACTGAAAAACGCAAACTCAAAGTCATGTTCATACATGTACACGTATTTGAACAAATAAAAACTGAGGCTGTACTTGTACATGTAGCCTGTAGTTACCAAAGTCTATGGTTAAATGTCAATAAATAATCAGTTGTAACATCGGGTTTATCGGAATAATCTTCTGTCGACAATCTGTCAACATGCGAGGAGCTGACACTGTATCGTGACCGGATCCAGACGAAGATTCTTGTGTGAATGCTTCCTTTTCTATACATTCAAATTCCTCTTATCCATACAGAAAAGGAATTACCTCATTCACACTACAGAGATAATCCAATCTGCAAAGAAATATCCTTTATTCTACTCCATCAAATACAACTTAAGTTAAAAAAAGTAAGAGAGATCCATAGGCGTCTATGACTTCCGTGGCATGCCGATAAATAAATATGTCCTTGTTTGACAGAAGAAAAAGAACTACGCTTCTTTCTAGTACTTGTTACACACTCGTCGACCCCCACGCTAATACTATATGAACTGAGTGGAACTGTGTGGATCTGTGGGGGATCTCATGTAACACTAGAATGTATGTGATTGTTGATGGTAGTATCGATGGTATCAATCGTAAAGGCTTTGGTTTTTTACTTTCTGCGATCCTGTTACTACCCTATTAATAACAATGTTCCATGAATCATGTAGGGTGACTCATAAAATAATGGTCTGAAAGGCGAATTACATTGCATCTATGTACATATCGGGTACATTACGGAAGCACAGCTAGGGCTAAAAGTTCTGAACTTTCTGCGATCCTGTTACTACCCTATTAATAACAATGTTCCATGAATCATATAGGGTGACTCATAAAATAATGGTCAGAAAGGGGGATTAAATTGCATATATATATTCAAATAGATACTGTGTACATTGCGGAAGCAAAGCTATGGCTAAAAGTTCTGAACTTTCTTATATTTCATTATTACTCTATTCAACAATGTTTTATTAATATTATAGTGTAACTCATAAAGTGATCAAGTAGTCTAAGAAAAGAAGAAACAATTCAAGAGGCTTCAAAGTTCTATACTTCTATCATCCCATTACTTCCCTGTTAACATTGAATAATGTTCCATGAATACTACAGAGTGACTACAAAAGTAAATGAAAAAAAGCAGATTGGATTACTATACCCCCCCCTCTTCAAAACACTTAGGAAACAAATATTTAGAGTTAAATTCTTTGCTGTGTGAACCACGTTCCCATTACTACCCCGTTATTAAAAATGTGCCATGAATACTACAGAGTGACTCATAAAATATGAAGTAGAAAAGAGCTGTTAATGAATTAGCCAGTTTACAAAAAAATCTACAGATTTTATTTATTTAAAGCCTACTATCCCATTACTACCCTATCAATCACAACTTTTCAAGAATACTACACAGTGACCCATAAAAATAACTCGTAAAAAATAGGCATAAGATTGATATAATTTTTTACTTTATATCCCATTACCACCCTATTCATTACAATCTTCTTTGAATACTACAGAGTGAATCATAAAAAATGACCGATAAAAAACAAACAATGATACCTCCCTAAAAGTTGTAGACATTTTTGTTATGACTTTCAGTCGTTTACTTCACACCAACCCTATTAATAACAATGTTCGATGAGTACTACCTGTATAGGATGACTCATGAAATACCACCACTACTACAATAACATTGCTAAAAAAATATACAATTACAATGTCAACTATGCAAGACAAAATTCAGGTTCAGAATGTATTACTTTAAGCAATATTCATCAGTGATTGACAAGTCAGTTACAAAATGAAACTGAAAGAACTCATCAATTATACAATTAACTTCCCCATAAATGTCTATTAAAAATATGTGTCTTTAAATACTGTTCTAATGGTTGAGGAAGTATTTAACAATATATAAATACTACTGTACTCTCATACCGAGGAAATAAGACTTCTCTGCTTCAAAAGAACTTGGATTTCTTCATATATACATGTTCTACCTGGGAGATATATTATAACCACTACCGCTATTACAATTACAAAACTGTATTACTACAACAAAAACAACAACTATTACTACTAATAATTCTTCTCCTTCCACACATGCTTCTTTATTCTATTTCTTGGTAATACTTGAATCTGATGCAAATAGACATATGCTTTAATATCTATGGACCGTTTTCCAATGTAAAGTTTCTTCCACGTTAAAGACTTTTAAAAGTTCTAAGTAAGAGGGAACTGGTGATATAGTTGGGTAGCATGTCTATTTACACAATCCTACAATATTTATAAATAATATTCAACCATTTCTGTGCCAAACTCATTTGAAAAATCCTGCATCCATTAGAATCTTCAGCCAGCTTTTTGTCAATTTCTGATATCTATCCGGCTAGAAATGTCAAATCTAATATTTCCGTCACTTTTCAAGGTTTCTTACGTGGAAAATGAAACTGATATTGTATTATCTACATTATATTGCTACATCAATCAATCCTGTAGCATTTGCCATGAGACAATAAAGACATCACATCCTTCTCAAAGTACAATTTTACTGCACGCTATCTGTAGTACTAGAGGCATGTTCACATAAAATATGTTAAGCCTAGTTCAGTATGCAGCGGTAAAACAAGTTCGTTTCTTAAAATAATTTTTGTATGACGTTCAAGTGTAATATGCTTCACCTTTCTGTATCTTATAACACAGAGGATACTTTGTTGCACACAGTTGCTATTCATTTACACATTTCACATTAAAAAAACGCTGCTGTTTTGTGGGGGGGGGGGGTGTTATTATGTAATATCTGAACGTGCATTTAGTGGATGTAAACATGTAATGAATATGAAGTTGGGATGAAAAATGAAAGAAGCTACACAAAAGGTCATACACATAAAGTCCTTATCCACGCGTTAGATCAAGATGATACAGAATGTGTAGTGCATTATGCTTTAATACCTCTTTTAAAAAAGAACCCCCCCCTCTCCCCCCCAAAAAAAAACAAAAAAAAAACAAAAAAAAAAACACACACACTAGTTTATTGCATCATAATGTTAGCAAACCCTCAGAAAATACAAACTGTAATTCCCTTTCAGAATATTCACTATGTGTACACACATATAAACTTCTGGTGACAAAAGTACAAAAGCTTCAAACAGTATATTATAAATGCTGTATCTCATTACAAATTACATCCTGCCTCGCTAATCACAGTGCATGACATTTTGGATTCTGTTTAAATAAGGCCTGTCCTCATCAGCTTGAGATTGCCAAATAGCCCGCTATTTCTGATTTGGGAAATAATCCTGAAGTTACAAATCCCGTCTTCATCAGATCGAGATTCGACCTCAAAACTTGAAACTCGACCTTGAGAAATTTGCTTGAGATATTTTGCTAAGCGTTCGCGCATAGTACGAGTCTTCGGGCTGGTGAAGACGCTACAAACAAATAGCAGGAAATTTTGCCAAATAGTGGGATATTTTGCAAACTATCCCAAGATATCTTGGGATGATTATCCCGACCAAATATCTCGCTAATTGCAACTTCCGACTGATGAAGACGCAAATTAACTGGATTGGGATAGTTGAAATAGCAGGATATTTGGCAATCTCGAGCTGATGAGAACAGGCCTATAGTGACTACGATTTTACAATAGGAAAAACTTGAAACAGGACAAGGTCATCGTAGAGGTCGACTCTAGTTGAAAGATATTGCATGTCATTGATAAGTGTCTCTCTAGCTACAGGAACAGTATGAGAGCTTCAAAATGGCTGTCACTGTGACAGATAGAATGCATAAACAATATCCATGAGTTGACATAGGAGTAATTCACCTCTTACTACAGTAACAGAAATTCAACACTGGTTTTCTGTAAGACTGAGTTTGCAGGGAAAGACCAGTATTGGAAACGCCCCAATTTCAAAAAATGAAATGGAAGCTCTTATTACCAATCATGTGAAAGAGTATGTTTTGACTAATACATGATGATACAAATTTTGCCGGGAAACCGCCTACTAATTGATATATTTGGTAAATTAGTTTATCTATTGGTGTGTGAGAGATAAACGCACAGGTCGCACACGTGTGCGTAGTCCCATATTCATCTTTCTGTGTACAGTGCTTGTAACTTTACGAAGACTGGGCCAAATTTCTTATCATGTTGATGATTCCAGAACCTTGCAGTACACACCAATACTCTATGCTAGATGATCAACCTTTTCTGATCGATTCCACAACGTTTCTTTCACAATGCAATCGCATGACCATAACTGGTCTTTAATACAAAAAATGAACAATGTTTTTGTGTGTGACCAAGAGAGATATCATTTATATGTACATCATGGATGGATTTTGAGTGTAATTACAGCAAATAAACAAACTATCCATACGTTACAACAATGATACTGGTCATAACATGCCAGGACCGATATCATTGGCATTAATGACTTTTCGATATAAAGTAATTAAATATCGAATGCAGATTAGTTACCTTGGCGAGACGAATAAAATGATAGAGACTTTATGCAATGATGATGTAAACTAATCATTGGTTGACCTCATTGATGAACATAAGATACCAGTGACTTTGTATGATGATGTAATGCACAGAAGACATATGGAAGAAGAGGACAAGAGGAAGAGGAAGAAGGAGAAGAAGGAGGGGAGAGAGAGAGAGGAAGGAGGGGAAGGAGGATAAAAGGGAGATAAGGAAGAAGAAGAAGAAAAGAGAAAGGAGAAGGAGGAGAAAAGGGAGATAAGGAAGAAGACGAAGAAGAAGGAGGAGGAGGAAAGAAAGGGAGAGAGAAAGAGAGAGAGGAGGAGGGGGAAAAGAAGGAGAAAGAGAGGAGGAGGAGAGAAGAGGGGGAAGAAGGGGAAGAATGCAATATAATACTAAGCACAAAACTAGAAAATATTTGATAGGCATTAGATCATCTTTCATCAGCAACGAATAGCTTTCCTTCTCTATTTTCGTCCATGTCTTGCAAAAAAGATTACTTTTCTTCCATGCATGAAGATAGACTTTATTGGATAACTTGTTTAGCACAGGGCTAATCTGCCACAAGGTCCATTGCACATAATATAGAAATAAATAAACAGCAGTTTATCACATACAATCATAGTCAAAAATACAATTAACAGTAGTTAACCCCATACTGAAAAGAAATATACATTAATTGAACACAATGAGATACATAATTGACATTTAGCTAATTACGAATGTGAAGAATGAAGTCTACTTCTTTAGATCACTTACTTAGTTCTTCATTGTCTCCTTGCATGTGAATGACGTTAGTAATGGGCGAACTGAGAGGGGTAGGAATCGCCTTGGAATCATCTTTACCTGGTATTATTGACAAAGTTTAACAAGTCCAGGGTTGATGTTAGCATTCAGTATATGTAGCACATCGAAAAATACAGACAGGGTTGAAGTTAGATAAGTTAGATAATGGATAGGAAAATACAACATGGTTATAGTATCATGTACATATTTAATATTCAATTTAATTTCATTTAATTTTCATTTGAAAAATTTGTATTACCTGAGTGTACAATCTATTACATGAAAGCTTTATAGGAATTACGTATCATTATTGTTGTTTGTAATTAATTATGTTCATGTATCAGGCTTAAATGTTCATTTCTATTGCGCCCTATCTCTATTTCCTTCTTTCCTAAGCACATAGGGACTTTCTTTGTGTTAGTGATATGCGCTATACAAGTAACATTCATTATTATTATTATTATTATTAACATATCATTTTAACAAGTATAGAACAGGATAAAATATTAATAAATAAACACAGACATTATATATTTTGATAATACAATAAAATGTTCAAAGATGTAAAACAGGAAAACAAATGCTTACCTTGGCCGATGGCAATGTTAGCAGGGAAATTACTTTTTGTTTTTCTGTGTTCCTTGTCCCTTTTTTTCTTCTTGCCCGGGCATTCCGAGGTAATTTGCTCCAGACAGGGACCTTGTTTGTGTACATTAAATTCACAATCTGAAAAGAAATACATTACAATCAAGAAATCAGATATTTTTTTTAAATTCTATTGTTTATATCATGTATATACATAATATAAAAGTTTGAGAATTCTCAACTCTATATATATGTTTTGTTATGTTTTTGCAAAGTCAAGAGCAATATTGAATAAAGATGATTATATTATAGAAAAGAAAGAAAAAAGAAATCAGATTATCCTGGGTTATTACAAGAATTTTCAATTCTGTTCAAATCTGCTCAGGGAATGGACTTGACTCGTGAAAGTTAAAGTTAAACTTGCAGTCTGATATACAGCGGTCTACATACATTCCATGTAATTCAGATTATCTTGGGTTGTGGTAATTTGTGTCCAGACATGAACCTGACTCACATGAGATAAGTACATTAAACCGATTATTTGAAAGACAATACAGTGTACATCCCATCAAATTCATACTATCTGTGGATCTTTTAGGGAATTCAAATATTTTTACATGGTATTCAGCATAAATTTTGCTTACATTTTGTCCGTATTGAGTGAAATTTGCCAAATGGGTTTTTTAGTAGGACTAAATTAATTAATCATGTGACATATTAATACTACATGTACATATTTAAATTACATTTGTTAAAGGAAATTTACACTTGTGCTTTGTATCCTATACCCCCCCCCCTCAATTTGGTTTAAAAAACTGAATAGAAAGAAACAACGAAAAACACAGACAAAGACAGAAAGGTTATCATAGGATAGACTAGACTCGTTTACTAACATATTCAAATTCATGGATGTTTCTTTCCTGGGGACCATTCCATTTCCTTGGAATGCCCATTTCCCCATTTTCTAGGGACCATTTTATTTCTCCACCCCCAAAAGACCGGTTTAATAAAACTTATTCAAATTGAAGCATGTTTCTTCCTGGGGACCTAGCGATGGGTTATTCCTTTAACCTGTTGTTAATGAATGGACTACAATACTTGGAACCCAGTCTGCATAGATTACATGTTTCTATGTCGGGCAAGTCTCAGACAAGCTTTCAGGTTGTCAAGAACAACCTTTGTTTAAAATGGATGCTTAACATTTGAGAATGTAAGTAAACCGTTCTTTCAGGAAAATATGGAGAAAAAACAACAACTACGATATTAAATGTGGCAAAACTTACGAGTACACTGAAGGCCTTGGTAGCCAATGCCCCATAGTAAACCATGACACTGGTTGCAGAAGGTGGTGTTTAAATACTGGTTCTTTTGAAATACATGGCCTTTCACCGACTGCTGTAACAGAGAGAGAAAAGAGAATGACAAAGATTAAGTTTGAGAAGAAATGCATGCTAAAAAAAAAAATCAATATTTTGAAGGCAAAACAGACTTTATAGTAGGATTGAGGAATTCATCAATCAAGAGTTTCAAAACCATTGCATTTGTTGTAGAAAGCAGAGTTCAAATACTTGTTTTCTTGAAAACATGACGATTACAGTATGTATGATTTTCATTTTATGCAAAGCAATACAGCGTACACATGACCTTTATTAACTATCAGGAAAAAATAGGGATAGGATCTTGATGAATGTAAGAATTTGAAAGCTGAAGAAGTACTGCATCAGTATATCACGAGTGGGGTGATAAAGACTTGTTCCATCAATTTCTGATGATTTCTTTCTTTTCTTATTTTCATAATATTGTAAGATTAAAAAGAAATCTAGGTAGTGCAAAAACAGCACCACATGCAAACTGAAAATGTAAGCTGGCTTTCCGTAAAGATGATTTTTTTTTTTTTTTGCTCTCCTTAAACAAAATAAAATTGGTTATTAAATTGTATTATTCCACCGAAGAAAGGTACAATCAATGTTTGAGCTAAGCTAACCTTTTTGGTAGAGTGGGGGAACTTGAGGGGCCCTCTCCTGTCCTTGTTGATGAAGCTAGGGGCCCTCTCTAGAGCACTACCAGTCTGGTTCTTCACACCGGCTTGCTTCATGAAGGTGTTGAGTGATGCAGCAAGGGCCTGGTTCTTAGGCTCCTTCTCTACTTCAGATCTGTAGAGAGGGAACAGGAGAATGAGAGAGGACGGGGAGTGGGTAAGAGAATGGGGAGGGGAGAGAGAGAAGGGAGTGAAGAGAGTTCATACATGACCCAAGTTTGGCGGCAATCCATCAATTGTTTCTGGAGATAACGCGATCACGAGAACGGGACGTACAGACGGACAACCCGAAAAGAGTCTCTACACAAAGGTGGTATTTCTATACAGGTTGCAGCTATAGCAGGTTTGACCCTGAAGAGAACATAATAGCATTGATACTCACGAAGTAAGCCTGTCAAGATGGGGTAGTAGTGTCGATTCCACAATCTTCAGCTCCTGGCTCTTTGGCATGTCCTCGTTGGTCAGGTACTGGTCTCCGAAGATGGAACCCGGACCGCGCGCCCTCGTGTGACGGAAGTCGGCTAGGAGGTCATCCACCTCCTCCCTGGCAACGTTGCGAGCGGCAATGAAGACATTCCTCATTGCCTCTTCATTGTTCTGCTGTGTGTTGATGGTATGCTCTGAAGAAAGAGAGGGTAAACATTTCTATTCACAATTCCATTTCAATTTCCATTTCCATTTTTATTTCTAATACCAACTCCTTTTCCATTTCCATTTACATTACTTTTATTTATCAAGTAATTCGTACATACATCATGATAACAATAATCATAAAAATCACTGCACAATAATTACAAAGGTAAAAACAAATGAAAAATGTCCAACAATACAGAAATAGTGGGTAACACTTTCTTTTCTACAGTATATATCATAGGATTAAAATCAAAATAATTCTTCCACAGGGGACCATTTCTTATAGTGCATTCCTTCAATCTTCTTTTGTTTTGCAATGTTAAGTTCTATATATTTCGTGTTACTGATAAAAGACATGAGCCCACTTAAACATGGTTTTGCGTTTTTGCATTTTTGGATATAAATATATCTTTTAAACATAAGCAACAAGTGATTCAGTAACATCATATTGGGCCCTTTCCAATCTTTGATGAATCCAAACATTATTCTTTTCTTGCTGAGATCTTCAAACTTAACTTTAAATTTCGTGCCAATATTATCAACAAGTTCCTGTCTAAGCTTAGAAGCAACATCACAGTCATAAAATAAATGAACAGGTGTTTCTAAAGTTGAATTACAAAAGGTACACATCTCTGACTCAACTAATTTCATCTTATACAATCTGTTATTAGTATAAAGTATGTTATGTGACAGTTTGAATTGGAAAACTCTCATTTTTACTTCAATTGTGCACTTGAAAGGTAAAATATAGATTTGTGACCAGTCATTTTCTTGAATATCAAAGGTGCTAGAGAATAATTGTTCACAAACTGGTCTTGCTATTACTTCAGCAAGAAAACCCTTGTACACTATTTTCGACTTGAGTTTATATAGTTCAGATAACAGGAACTCTAATTGAGAGTGCTCTTCACTTTCTCTATTCAATTTTTTTTCGAATACCAAGGGAACAAATTCACATTTCCACTCTTTCTTCACAGAGTTCACTATTGCCATGTATTGTAAAAAATGTTTGTTTGAAACACCTTTTTCATTCCAAAAAATCAAAATGGAGAATTTTTCCATTGTTATCAAACAATTGGTATATATTACAAAGCCCTGCCTCATGTAATGCTCTGCAGTATACTGACCTGTTATCAACCAGAATGAACTTATTATTCCAGACACTCTGCTTCAGTATACTGACCTGACTTCTATCGTTAGTAACCAATTCACAATGAATATCTGTTTTTAACCATGCTTTCAATAAGGCAACATAAAATGGAGGAATATCCTCGATTTTTGGTAGTTTCTCAATTGCATAATTACTGACAAAAATAGATTTACCACCATATAACCTTAAGAAATTCTCAAAAGGAATAGTCCAGCTGTGATCTGATTTGTGAAAATATCGTTGAACCCATTTTACCAGCTGAGTATTTATCATACATTGAATATTTGGGAATTTCAGTCCCCCTTCTGAGTAATCAGCATACATAGTTGCTCTTGAGATTTTGTCCGGACCGTTCCACATAAATGAAAACATGAGCTTCTCAATTTCTTTGACAAATTCAGTGGGCAATGAAATGTTGGACAAGAGATAAATTACTTTCAACATTACAAAGGTTTTTAAGATTTGTGTTTTGCCAATCAATGTTAGTCCTCGGTTTTTCCATTTAGCAAGTATATTTCTCATTTCTTTAATTCGAGTTTCAAAGTTTATTTTCCTTGGTTCTTCAAAGTCATATGAGAAATATATGCCCAGAACTTTTATGCCCTTCTCTGGCCATGTATAAGCACTGTCCTTTTCACCTTCATGCCTATTCTTACCGATCCACATGCCTTCAGTTTTAGATTTATTTATACAAAGACCAGACATTTTTGAAAATTCCTCAAACTCTGAAAATACAATTTTTAGGGACTCATTACTTTTGCAAAAACATGTTATGTCATCAGCATAAGCTGTGTATTTTATTTCCTTCCCCCCCCCACTTCAAAACCCACAATATTGCCATTATTTCTTACTCTATTCAAATATACTTCCAATCCCAAAATGAATAACAGAGGTGCAAGAGGATCACCCTGCCTTGCTCCTCTGCTAACTTTGAAGTAACCTGTAGTGAACCCATTTAACAAAACACAGCTACTGATATCTTTATATAGAATTTTAACCCACTGTATTAGTGAGGGCCCAAAGTTATAGGCTTCCATACATTGGAAAATAAATGAATGGCTTAATGAATCGAATGCCTTAGTGAGATCCAATGCCATTATTATACCTTGTAAATCCTCTTTTTCTGCATAAAACATGAGATCTGATATTAATCGAATCCCTTCTCCAATATATCTCCCTTTAACAAAAGCAGTCTGTTGACTGTTGATCAAATTTTCTATCACTTTAGATATCCTTTTGGCTAAACATTTAGAAAGGATTTTTGCGTCAACATTTATCAGAGTGATTGGTCGCCAGTTACCAAGTTTAAGTTTGTCCTTGTTGGGCTTAGGAATTAATTTTATTACTCCCTGCCTTTGTGAAACTGACATACACTCGTCATTGTATGAAGCATTAAAAGAATCAATCACATATTTTGAAACCAAAGGCCAAAATACCTCATAAAACTCTACTGTGATGCCATCATTTCCTGGAGTTTTATTTTTTGCCATTTTCATCAATTCCTCTTTTGCCTCATTGCATGATATGCAACCTTCACACAAGGCCTTTTCTGATTCTGTTAACTGCTCAAGTCTACTTTGACAAATATATTCCATACAATCCTCTTGATATACCATATTTCTATTCTCAAAAAATGTTTGAAAGGATTCTTTAATAAACATTTGGATGTTTGCTTGTTTTCGAATAAGCCCATCCTTTGTATCCAACACATCAACACATGTATTTTCAGCCAGGCTTTTCTCTAATGATAAAAAGTACTTGTTACTTTTCTCACCCTTTTCATACCAAGTGCACTTTGACCTCAAAATTGCCCCATCCGCAAAATAGTCGTAAATTTTATGTAATTTCTCTTCAATTTGTTTCTTTCTAATTAAAGTTTCTTCTTTCAAACTGTCCCCTTCCATTTCATATATTTTTTTCAGCTCTTCCTCTAGCTCTTGTCTCAGCTTTTCCTTTTCACATTTTTTCTTTTTTGAAAATGGGATAGTAAACTCTCGTATTTTATATTTTAGCCAGTCCCACAGCATTTTTTTGTCATGTTTATGTTCATATTCATCAACCCATAAAGAGACATTGTCACTAAGAGCCTCAACAAACTCCTCATTATTTAATAGACTGTTGTTGAATTTCCAGTATGAAGGCCCCATTCTCTGTTTCTTAACATGTAAGTGCAATGTAACATAATCATGGTCTGACAGCACACATGGAAATATATCATTTTCTACAACGTCAGTTTGCAAAGTTTCTGTGATTAGCCAGAAGTCTAGTCTTGATTGGACATATGGTGTATATCTCCTCCAAGTGAATCTTTTAGTTGTTTGGTTTCTTACTCTCCAAATATCGATAATATGAAAATAATCTTTCAAACTGTCTACCAGGGTACAAGAATGCTTCCAAATTGTTTTCATAGCACCCCCTTCTCTATCCATGCCCAAATCCTGAATAAGATTAAAATCACCACCTATTATACATGTATGACCTTCATTATTAAATTCTTGCAGTATTGAATTAAAACCATTAAAAAACTCTACATGCTCTTTTTCATTGTTGGGTGCATAAAAATTGGCTATAACAAAAAAATTCTTGTATATTTCAACTTTGATACATAAAAAGCGTCCTACTTTATCTTTGACCGAGTCAATAAGTTTAATGTCCGAAGTTCTTCTGAATATTATACACACTCCTCTGCTCATGGATGTTCAGTGGCTGAATATTATGTTTGATCTGATTTGATTTCTCCACAAGATTTCGTTCTTTTCGGTGGAATGTGTTTCCTGTAAAGTTACATCCTTTTTTAACTTTAACAGGAAATTGAAGTATCGCTTCCTAGCCTTGAAGTCCCCTAATCCATTTACATTATGCGTCATTAATTTCAAATCCATTGTCCATCATGTAACCATCAAATGTTGGTCCCACTATTTCAAACAAAAAACATAAACAGTTACAATAGGAAAAAATGCACAAAAAAAGGTGTGCATGAGGTTGTTCCCTCAGCCTCTTTCATCGTAGCTCAAGCGACACATCGCGTTGTTAAAAATTATCTGATATAACCCTCCTTGTTCAACAAACTTAATCAAAAGTGCCTTTTGTTGTTTTATCATCTTGCTCTTTCCTTACTTGTTGCTTTAATTCTTCTTCTTTCTGTTGATGGTGTCTTTAATTTTCAACCTTTCTTAAACTCCACTTCCTTCTGTGTTTGCTTGTCGCGGTAGAAGAGCCTTGCTGGATATTTGAAGTAAGCCCTTCCGTGCTCTTCCTTCAGCTTCTGTCTGGTATGTGACATCTTCTTTCGTAGGTCTCTTATCTCCTTAGGTAGCATTTCATCAATGAAAATGGGTTTTTCCTTGTCCTCATACACAAAAGGTTTGTTTTTTAGGAGTTTTCTGGCACTTGCGAGGATGGCACTTCTCGTCGTGTACCGATTGAAAGCCACCATTATGGGGCGAGGAGCCCCTCTTTTAGATGCCAGCCCAGAGCGATGCGCTCTCTCTATACGTAGGTCTTGCCCCTGCATATCCAGATGTGACTCTGCAAACGACTGGATCAGCCCTTCACAATTTCCTTTCTCACAGCCCTCAGGAAAGCCAAAGTAAACAGCTGTGCATCTCATTTCTCTAGCTGCAAGATCAACCAAACGTTCCTTCATTCTTTGATTTTCTTTCTCAAGCTCTTTTACTCTGTCTTTTGTTTCATTAAGCTCAAAATCATTGTGCTGTTGTTTGTCTTTCAATTCGTCGATGTCTTTCCTGTTTTCGCCCATCTTCTGCAGAGCCACATCTAGTCTGGATGTCAAGTTATTATTCATTTTGTCCACTTTACTGTTTGTATTGTCTATTTTGTTAATAATCGTCATAAGCAATTCCTTTGTATCATTAGCTGCGGTGTTACTTGCCTGATCTCCGTTGCCGTTTGTTCGTCGTTTCTTGTCAACATGGTCCATCGTACTGATGGCAGATTCCACGCCCAGAGCTTCGGGGATAGATTTATCGATGTGACCGGCAGGTACTTCACTCATACTTTGAGTATCCATTTTGTCCCCGCTACTGTCCATAATTTATGTTTCTTTATCTGATTTGTCTCCAGGTTGTTCAAAGTATTTAGCGATGGTATTTAGGTTCTCTAAGATCCTTTTCCTAGCAGACATTTCTGCTTTTTTTCCTCGGGTTTTCTCACTTCGCAAAAATGCATGTTGTCTCTAGAAGTGCGCCATCTTGAGCTCCATTTACATTGCTATTACCAATTCCTTTTCAATTTCAATTTCCACTTTCATTTACAATTCCATTTCCATTTCCATTTCCATATCCATTTCCAATTCCATTTCCAACTCCATTTCCATTATCATTTCATTTCATATTTACATTCATTTTTAATTTTCATTTCTATAGATTCTTGAAAGTTGATGGATCCATTTACTACATAAAAGAAAAAACATCCAAAAAAGTAAAAAGACAATTGTTGAAATGGGATGATACAAAATAGATCTTAAAATCCATTTAATTTTTTTTTCTAGACAGGTTTTCATCATCTAACTGGTTCTATCAGATTCATAGAATCCATTACGATTCTAAAAAAATTAAACAAAAATCCTTGTTGTTAGACTTTGAAAAAAGCATGCTAAATTTTCAACACATCAATGAATAAAAGGGTGCTTGCATTAATTATTTCTTACAAAATGCTTTTATATAGGTTCCTGTACGTTTAACAGTTATGTACTTTTCCTGTGTGGGTTTCTTTTTAAATGATAATAGTTGTCAAATATATTTGGTGATATGTAATTTTGTAGTCTGATAATATGTCAATTTAATACCATAATAATTTTTTAAATTATGACACAATATGTCTTGTATATATTGTGTTATCTGTACTGAAGCTGCATGTGAAATGTGAAACCAATGAACTCAAACTTCAAACTCGAAACCATACAAAGTGTTGATACTTTCGCAACTTACCTATATTGTTCACTAGACTCTCTTCCATCTGTATTCTTAGAGGCTGGATGTTTTCAAAACAAGAGACAGAAAGGTGCACAAGATGTATTATCAGTGATTTGATATGGTCATCAGAACAATGACAGCAATCAAGATATGAGGATGGTATTTATTTACATGTATTTTTAGAAATATACTGCGAGGAAAGACACACATTGAAAGAATACATCAACGTCTACATGACTGAAAACATAACAATCAATTAAGCATTATCAAAAGGCAAACCAGAAGGGTGGTTTTACTGTCAATTTCACTACATAACTATATCTTTTGGTAACAATCAGTAATTTATTCATCATATTATTTCTGTCACAATCCTTTTACTTCATTTACTCAACCCTTCTTATTGGCTATGAATTTAGGAATGTCCCCTACTTATCCCTGCACTTTTTACTTAACCCTGATAAGGACGGGGGGGGGGTATAATGGCCCCTCCCTGTCAAATTGTTGCCGCTGCATCAAAACCCCTAACCTGTGGCGCTGAAATTTCATGAGTTTTTTCCTCATGTCTCCCACACATTTTAATACCAAATTTATTATGGGCGGACCTATGGTTCGGGTGTTAGGTGACAAAATATCATTACATGTCAATCAAAATATGTAATTCTCACAAATGTGCGTGTGTAAGTATATTTATAGTTCCTATATGATCTTTATCAAAATCATGAGTGATTTAGTTCATGTAATGCAGTCATACATTCATGATTATATTTGTTTAGTATTGGCCAATTATTTTTTTATTCACATAATGAAATACATAAGAAGTTAAAAACAGTATAATACATAAGAAATTGGTAATTATAAATACAGTGCGTCCCAGAAAAAACAAAACAAAAGACTCCATGCATGGCTGATTGTCAACGAAACAAGTCTGTTGTCGATTCTGCTTGTTGCTACGGCAGGTAGCCAGTGAAAACGAATTCGTTTGATAAAATTATGGAAATGCAAGCACTACTTTAAACAAACAGAACTTTGTCATTCCTTGCTCATTTTTCCTGATTGAGGTGTCATATGAAGGGCAAAAACTCAACCTTCTAGAAATGTGATTTTATCTTTGAAATTCAGATACCGTCCGCCAAATGACTTTCTGGTTGCCTCTCTTCTTCACTCATGCGTAAAATATGCATCATATAAGTTGCATCAAATGAAAGAGGAAGATCTAAGCTTTACAAATATGTGTCATTTATTAATTATAAATGTGACTAAGTTGTGATAAAACATTGATAATTCTCGGTTTCATTTTTTCTGAGACGCACTGTATAAACGAAACTGACGCTTTTCACCCACAAAATATTGTACAAACTATAGTTTCATATGAAAACAACTTGTAGCAAACATATTTGTACCTGTGTGTGTGTATGTTTATTTGTATGATTGTATTAGAAAATATTATATTTCAATTGATTAATGTTATTACTCAACTAAAACAGCAATTTCAAATCAAATCTGCCCATGCAATATTTAAAATCACGCATTTTTGAAGAAAAAAATGCATATTGTCATCAAAATATTAATTTTTAAAAAAACATTAACAAAAATAAACTAACCATCTTATTAAAAATACTTCAATCTATCACCATGCTAATTTCCACATTAATTGGACCTCCGTAGGCCGAGATCTAAGGGGGGGGGTATAATGCCCCCCCCCCTCCCCCCCCCCCCCCCCCCCCGTCCGTATTAAGACCTCAAATAGCCCGGTATCTCCTGGTAAAAACAGTAATATATTCATCATACGATTTCTGTCACTATCCTTTTTACTTGATTTACTCAACCCTTCTAATTGGCTAGTATGAATTCAGGAATGTCCCCTACTTACCCCTGCACTTCCCAAGAAAGTTGAAAAGATGTCGTAGACCCATTTCTTCATATCCCTCAAATTACCATTGGCATATGAATCTGTTACTAGGTAGAAAAACTGTATATCAAAACAAATGCAAAGAGGGAAGAAATGAATTATACATTATTATACATGATGATTAATCAAATGTGAGTCAAGAAAATTGCTAATCTAAAATTCTTTTATTTTATTTTCCTTCTCTTTCTCTTCCTCTCTTACTTTCTCCCTCCCTGCTTCCCTCCTCCTCCTCCCTCTAATTCCTCTTTGTCTTCCTCTTCTTCGTGTTCTATAGGCTTGGTCAGCTCTCAAAGATAAGAATAACAAGTGGTCAGACCTCACGTTTTTTGCAGCAATAAAATTATTTCCCAATAGACCTGTTTATGCATACATTCTAAACAAAAGTTAATCTTGACGAGTAAAAGGATGCCAGAGGATTGTCCCACAAAGTAACAACTAAACAGGGAATTCCATCCATAAAAATGCTATGCACATTAAAAAATAGTTGATAGCGAGGGGTTTGGGAGACGATAGCCATGTTCAACGGGGCTTCCTGGTCGGCGCAGGTTTTTTCCTGCAGCAATAAATATTCCATAAATATTTGAATTACACCATTAGTTTTTCATACTCTGTTACTTGGACTCACTCGCGTAACTTCCGGAAGTGGTTGGACCCGCACTAGTCGACCTCAACCCAGGGTCGGCCTCTTAACTGCGCGGAATCTAATGTTCATTTTAGATTGTAAACAAACAACCCATGTGAAAGGTCACAGATACTCAGAGTGCCAAGTGAGAGCATCCTCACGGTCAACTACACAACCCTCCAGTCGTGTTAGCGCGTTTCTCTTGGAAAACTCCAGGAGTATTATCAGTCGGCGTAAAGGTCGACGAAGCTAAGACTACTATCGTTCAGACGGTCACTTCGCCGACCTTTACCATATTTACGCTGACTAGCACTAAACACGACCTTATGCCAACCAAAATTGCCATCGCGTCAACACGGCTAGTCATGTCTGGATAAACTGAAATACATTAGTAAAAAGGTCTACCGGTATTCATTTTCCAAATAAATAACAAGGATCCAAGTAATAGACGATTTTCAAAATGTATAAATATTTATACACATTTACCCAGCAACGGGATATTGCATTCACCCGTTATATATCCTTGCATTTCAATAATAAGAATGCAAATTGCAACATTACTTGTTGCTAGGTTGGACAAACATGATTGATTGCCCTACATAACAGGTAATGCATGCTATTAGCATTTTGACTATTACAGAAACAATTATTTGTAACAGGTGAATAAAACACGTTTGTTTCGACGCACTTCACAAGGACGTAGGCGTTTAATTTGGTTACATAACGAACATGGCCCATTTGGGAGGGATTTATTATCACAGTCATCATTATATAATCAGGGAGGTCTGACCGGGGGGAGTCTTATTATTTTGTACCATAGCGCGCCCACATTGTGTTCGCGAAGGAAACCTGGGCATGCGCACTCGCAAAGGAAACCAGCGCATGCGCACATGGAATCCGGTAGGGTTGTTAATAGGGTGAAAGTAATTATACAAATCAAACTTTCATAAACTCATTGTTAGCTCAACTTATTTATTCATGTATTTATTTATTCAGTCTTCTTTAAAAAACAGGGTAGTCCTTTCAGAGCCACAAGGCCTGCTTTTCAAAGGAGCCCTGTAGGCGAGTGACAATACATGGTAAAAATTACAACAACAACAAATAAAAACATATACTCAATACATAATACACAGTGATATACTACTAGATATCTTAGGTACTGTACTGTACTAAAACGTTTTTGTTTGTGTTAATGTAACATTAACACAAACAAAAACGTTTTAGTTTGAAAAGACAACCTACATAAAACGCAATCGGTAAGGAGTCTAAGAACTTTGGAGTAGACTTCAGGGTTCGAATCTCAGTATTTCTTTAGTTTGTTTGCCTTTATAAATAGTGAGGCAAAGCAATAAATAACCAAAGTCTAATTGTTTGTGACCTCTTTGCAAGCTTTCATAGCTTGTTATGTATGGAAAGGAGTTCAAACTGGAATCTGGGCTCGCTGTGGTACGAAAATATAAGACGCGACCAGTGGTTTAGCCTGTGGATGGCTTTTCAACTTACCAGACTTGAGGGGTCACTGTTGGATATGAGATAGTGTATGAATACTGCCATGTGTGCTGACTTCTTCTGAAGCTGATCAAGTTCATTGAATGGCCCATGGTCTTCAGGCTGTAAAAGAGTGCAATAAATAACGGTTATTATTATTCTCTATTTAGCATTCAAAAGACACACTACTGTAATGAAGACATGAGATCTAAAATAAGAAAAAATGATTCAAATTCCCCTCCTGCTCTTCCTGAAGTTGCCTGGATGGACATAAAAGGAATGTTGAGTTCCTACGACCCTTGGGCCTTTCTCACAGAAAAAACCAGGGGAAACTAGGAACATAAGAACAAAACAAAAAAACCACAAAGAAGAAAACAACACATGTATATTGTAATAGTACTCAGTCTTTATATAGCGCGTATTACAATCACTAAGCGCTTCCGAACTTGGAGATTATTACCCGGCTTTAGCTGTGCTGCCATTAAGGCGCTCTGGCATTTCAAAAAAATAATTCCTGCCAGGTACCCATTGACATCACCTGGGTTGAGTGTGACATGTGGTCAGGTGACAGGTGAAAACGCGTAGATTTTGCCCAAGAAATAAAGGTTTAGCATAAATACACCCTGTACATATATTTTTCATGGATGAAAACAGCTTCACGTCATGAAATGTCAGATTCACATGTCTACAAGTACATTGTAGCACTCAAACTTTTAGAGCCAAGACTAAATTTGGATGTCTGAATTGAAAATAGGATGCCCTATCAGTAAAGTTTTGAGAAGATATAATCTTTACTTATCAAGAATAACATTTCTCACAAACATTTTATGAAAGAGGGAAAATCATTCAAATATTTAAGGGCAACATAATATATATGATCATAAATAGTTTTTCAATGTCTTGTTCCTAGTTATATCTTTATAGAAACCTCATAATAAGATATACCTGAAACTATCACTCGTTGCGGTAGATAGCACAATATTAATTCCAATCGATATCAAGAATTAATCATGGATTCTACTTATGGCATTCTTCCATGAAATGAAGCAGTCACAAATGGCAACACAATGATTCTTTGCTATACATTCATATAACAAAAATAACACTTCTGAATAATGTAACCAAAAATAAAGAACATGTTAGTAAAAGGTGAGCTGAATTTACTAAAAGAAAGTAGTGCCCTTTAGTTAAGATGTTATTTTGTGCCAAACAATTACAAGATACACATTCTGCATTCTGAAACAGTTCAATTCAAAGAAATAAACTCACGTTCCTCATATTTAAAATTTAAAATGTTATGTCAACAAGTTAAAGATAACTGCAATATTCTTAAAATGTTAGAATTACATTTGATCACATTATTTTCTTAAGTATATCAAAACAAATGGAAATCACCTGGCGATTAATAATGTTAAAATTATTATAAGATTAGAATTACCCTTTTCTTGATACTACATACATGTAATTGCATATAATGCAGAAGTACATGTACATCTAAGCAAAGCTTACATTTTAACAAAATTTAGAAATGAAATAAATTAAATTGCACATATATATATTAAGAACTTTATTCTAAATGTATGTTAAATTGTCTCGTGAAGGGCAATCCAATCTTTGAAATAAGTTCATTTAAATAAAAGCAGAAAAATCTGAGAGACAGAATTGAAAATGTTTGATATAAATGGGACCAATATATAATAAGAAAGTTATGGATGTTTAAAATGTGAGATCACTACATCTGTGCGAATCTCAAATTGGCATTTATGTCAGTGAATTGTGATGTGGTGACGAATAACTCTCCCATTTGTCACACTCTCAAATATATCCCTAATTTCTGTTTTTCTCCCAAGTACCTTTACTCTTGGGGCACTACTCAAAATATGTAAATTAATAGTATTTTGCTCAGGAAAAGAGGAAAACATGAATGTAACATTGATATAAAGACGGCTGCATAATGCCACACACACAGGCAACACACACGCTTAACATTGAAAAAATGGAGACAATCATATCATGAACATGTAAAAGCTTAGTTTATATATGACAACATGATTTATCTTTCACATTGTCAAATTGGAAATACCCTTCTTATAAGTCTGAAATTTGAAGGGCAGCCATCTTGTATTGTTAACCAGTACCTCATACATTTGTTCTTTCTTGGATGTCTTGGAGCAAAGTATCGGATGTTCATAACTTAGGCCTCTGTTTCATTCATTTAATTTCATTTGGTTCTTTTTTTATCTTAATTTTTCTTTTCTTTTTTTACCCAGCATGATAGCCACGTTGGTATTCATAATGTTCTTCCAACGGGCCCTGCAATTGTTACTATCCCAGCATTGCCATTTGAATAAACCTGGGTCAAGAGGGACAAATGTGGGTGAAACACCTAGTCCAAGGATGTAAGCACCGAGCAAGATTTGAACCCAGGACCTCTCGTATATGAGCCTTCACCAATGACCACAGAACCAGATGAATCTGGTAATATACATAATAATAATAACGTGTCTTGTTTACAGCCTTATCAGTATAAATACTGTTCTCCCAGAGGGCCCTTATATCATATTATTAACCCGCCTTTAGCCTAGCTACCATGAGAAGGCGCTCAAGCATTCAAGGAAATTCTCCCTACAGGATACCCATTTACTACACCTGGGTGGAGAGTGGCAAATGCAGATTAATATCTTGCCAAAGGATATATGTGCCGCAGTGGGGCCAAACCGCGAACCATGTGATTCACAGTCCAGCGACGAATCCACTTGACCTTGACATCTCTACTTCAAATAGTAGTCTCCAGGGTGAAAAATTTCAGGGTTTGGTTAACAGGACCAGTATCACGTTTCATCTCTTCTATTTATTAATGTTTAATTAATGTTTTATGGAGGGTTTGGGAGAAATAAAGATGTATCATTTCGATCTTCATAAAGGACACATCCCTGCTTGTCCCAAACCCACATTAGTGTTGAGCCCTGTGAAGATTGTTTATGAATAATTTATACCTTATCGACAGCATAGCCTTATTGCCATGGTAAGTAATATTGCAGATTTATTCTACATGTAATCAATAAGCCTTTATGCATCTGCACAGATTTATAGATGTAGAAAGTGATTCTTTCAGCAATACGGTGTATAATGAAACAGATTGCAGCATTGCAGCTAAAGGGTAAATTGCTATCATGTCAGTATATCGACCCTTCCACATTATGCAAGGTTGTATTAAAAGTAATATATAGGTTGATCCTGAAACCTTGCCCGCCATAGAATAGAACAGGATATGACCTTTGAACTTCCTTTGTCAGCTATGATTTTGGCAGATGTTTATATCACCTTAATGAATAAATTTGTGTGGACTTTTTAGAATGTATAGCAGTGCCTCTTGATGTGGTGATGCTGACGTATGTTGGTGTAGCTTATACATGATACAAGAGAGTGACATAAGACCTTATCAGCAGTATAGCGTACCATCTACGTCTTCTGTTAAAAGCCAGAAGGCCATAGCTATGCATATTGTGCTCCGTTTTCTACTTATTCAGTTAAACCCGATTCTAGGTCTAAGATCAAATTTAACAAACAAAAATTCAGACCTCGGCTAACTCCCTTGGTTAAACCCAATTTTGAAGGGAAAAGGGTTAAAGGAAACCTCACCCCAAAGAATATGGTAGGTGTATTTATGCTGAAAGACAGGGTTTATCCCTGCCTATCATTCCTTACGAGAATGTAGAAGAGATCTATGAACTATTTTTCTGTACTCCTTTCCTGCACACCCAGCCCCTATGTTATTAAAGAAGACCTAAAAGCTTAATTGAATAATCTTTCACAGATGTTCGCATCATTGGTCTCACTTAATTGGCATAAGATGGCAAAGTTTCTGACTTCTGAATGTGTTGATAGATATTTGAATACTATTCTAAAATCGTATTACTAAAGTTATTAGCTATACAAATGCAATAATTCTTCTTTCTCTGCAGAATTCCAAAATAATTCTGTATGCTCTCATCCTACCGGCTCCTACATCTACTCCCGTGGATGGAGCGGCAGTCTGGAATGAATGATCTTTCTGCTGATAAGGTCTTGTGTTGGTGGTATCGTAAACAATCCTAAACCTACAACCTCTTGAGATAATGTCAAGTCCTTTGAAGTGACTTGTGAAAAAAATCAGTGCATGGATGGATAGATTTTTATACCAAGCTTTGATCCCAAACTTGGTTGATATTTTATTTTTCTATTTTTGTTCATGTTTTATTCTCTTTCTTTTTCTTTTTACTTTATCATTAAAATACATCTGTGCTCATGCAAAGTTAGGGAATCCCCCTGATTTCGGATTAAGTAATCTGAAAGTCACTGTTATAATAGAACTGCACTCTACAAAATGAAAGTGCAATGTTTTAGTGGTCTTATTTTGGATATTTCTTTTGGAGAATTTGAAGTCTCCCTCTATCAGTGCAATAGAATACCGTAATTAACGGTGTATTAACCACACCTTTTTGCCGCCGAAATTTTTTTTCTTCGATTTATGCCCCTCCACCTAGCGCTATATGCCTGGCAATGTCTCCCAGCTCAGTAATCGGTGTGTTGACTCACCACTCGGAAACTAGAACAACACTCAAATTTGTCTGTCATCTTGGTTTGAAAGTAATCTTTCTGATAGATTTCAATTTGTAGTTTATAATAATAATTCCTCCAATTTTTCTTCTATTACACGGCGTACCACAAGGTTCTATCCTAGGCCCTCTACTGTTTTTTAAGTCGGCAAAAAAAAAAGTCAGCAATTTTTTTTTTTTTTTTTTTTAGGGCGAAAAAGAGGGGTGCGGTTAATACACGAGGGCGGTTGATACAACGTTAATTACGGTATATATTACCCTGTAGTATAATAATATCTAAATGTAACTATAAATCCTTTATAATAAATCACTTTAAATAGTGTAAGTACTAAAGAAATATCCAAATAAACCTTTACATTCTATTTTTAGTGGAACATTTTAAATCATTGTCCATAATTGTCTTAAAATTAAATTGTCTCCCAGCCTAAGATACTGAACGTCACAAAGTCACATGACCCGCAATACCTCAAGTGATTGGACGGTTTGAACTCTTTGCGAAACCAAACGATGATGAATGCAACACAAACACACATATCAAGCTCAAACAAGGACAAAAGCATGAAACAGTCTATCAATCTTGGAGCAAAATGCAGAATTGACTTTTAGGTAAAATGATGCATTTCGACTTACTTCCGGAGCCGATGGAACTTCGACTGCGCGCAGTCGAAAGTGATGCCTCCATCATAGAGCAATTTTACAAACCATAACGGAATAAATATTTCAAATTCAAGTTCGGTTGTAATCCATTAACAGGATCTCAGAATATCATGATTACAAGCTATTTCTCATATACATGTATGACCCTTCGATCTTTGAACTCATGACCCCAAATGCAAAATACATACATGTCTTGAGTTTGATGGTAATCCATCCATCGGTTCTAATGATAATGCAATCACAAGCCATTTTTGCACACATGAGCCCCATGACCTTTGACCTTGACCTCATGACCCCAAAATCTAATCAATTCATTGGCTCTGCAAGATACATACATGACCTAAGTTTGGCGGGAATCCATCAATTGGTTCTTGAGATAACATGATCACAAGCTATTTTTACATACATAATGAGCCCTGTGACCTTTGACCTCGTGACCCCAATATCTAATCAGTTCATTGGCTCTACAAGTTACATACATGACCAAAGTTTGGTAGGAATCCATCCGTCGGTTCTTGAGATAACGCGATTACGAGAACGGGACGTACGTACGTACAGACGTACGTACGGACGGACAACCCGAAAACATAATGCCTCCGGCTACTTCGTAACGGAGGCATAAAAAGGTGCACAGCTCAAACAACCACATATACAACTAAGAATAAAGTATGAAAATAAAGAAGGGAATAAATTAGTAAAAAGACCTGAAATCTGTATTGTTTAAATAAAGAGCAACAAATATACTACATGGATTGAGCATGAACTTAAAACACACACTAACATATTTTGGAGGTTACGTGACTATAGAGAGAGAAAGAGAGAGAGAGAGAGAGAGAAAGAGAGAGAGAGAGAAAGAGATAGAGGATAGATAGTAGCCAGTTTGTTGTTGGATCGGAAGTTTGCCTTGCCCATATACATGATGTTCTTCATACATAACTAAAATGACCCCCAAAATGCTAACTATTTGAGAGAATCCTGTTGACGACTTTTACTTTTTGTAGTTAAAAACTATGTGTATATAAAGCCTAGTGTTTAATCAACCATGGTAAACTTACCTGCCAAATATTGGATTGTCTTCTTCCAAAGACATAATATCCTTTGGATGTGATAACTAAACTTCATTGAAAAAAAGTTATCATTTGTTAGGATCATGTCAACAAAGCATTTTGTCTACCACATATTTATCTTTCTAAACAGTGCTATTTAATTGTGACAATTATAATTGTGGCGTAACAATTTGTGTTGCTGTAGTTTACCTTTACTTGAGTTAAGAAAGTGATATGTTCGTGATTTTAATATGTACAGCGCCATGAGCGTCAGAGCCCGGCGGATCCTGGCGCGATATAAATATCCATATTATTATTATTATTATAGATATCTTACCGGTTCAGTATCGAAGTGGAAGTCGTCTTCGTCTATACACATGATTTTCATCTGGCCCTGGCCCTGAGGTGGGGGTCCAGGGGCGTGGAGGGAGTGCACCTCGGAGACTGCAGGGGCGCTGAACAAATCGATCCTCTCGACGGTAGCCATCTGGAACTGAGGCATGTCCGCAGAGTCGGTCGTCACTCTGGCCTGCTTGGTGAGAAAAGATGATCAAACCAAATTATACATTATACGGCATAATGATGAAGGTCATAAAGATGATGATGACGATGATTAGGATACTGATGATAAGGACGATGATGGTGAGGCTAAAGTGCTAGCATTTGAAGGACAAAGAATTTTTGGACGTTCATTACTCAAACAATATCAATGGTACCATACCCAACATGGAAGGCTGTAAATCCAAACTATTCCAAACTATTTACGAAACCTTGTTATGCCTTATACACCAGCTGGTAGTCTAAGATCATCACACCAGCATCTTCTTAAGATCCCCATGACCTGAGTGCCTGTGGTGAAAGGGTCTTTTCAGCTGCAGCATCTTCTCTTTGGAATAATTTACCATTTAATTTGAGAATCAAAACTTCCTTAGAGACCTTTAAATCCAAGCTGAAATCTCATCTTTTTCAACAATACCCTGTACTTGCACAACCACACTCATCCAAACTCTCTTATTCTTTCTATTTTTCTTGTGCGCCTCGGAATAGAATTGTCTAGATAGATACTTACATCTGATTCTAGCACACTGGCCTCTACCACTCCTTCCATAGGGGTGACAGACTCCATGCCAAGCATCTTAGAGGTAGCTGCCTCGCCATCTTCAAACTCGGGATCCATCGCCTCTCCTGGTAATGACTTGGTCTGATAAGAGAAAGAAGACAAATAACATGGATAATATTGCATTCTTGTGCTCATGCTATAGTGTGATTCAACGTCCCAATGTGCTTTCAAAGAGCTTTGGAAATTATCATCATATTGCATTCTTGTGTAGCTCATGCTACATTGTGTACAACATTCCTATGTGCTTCCTAGGAGCTTTGGAAATTATCATCCTGGTTTCAGCACCATCAACCATCATCAATGCACAGAGGATTTCAAGGAATATCATACAAGTGTCCATTTACATCACCTGGGTGGATAGCGACAACTCTAGATCGATGCCTTGCAGAAGGACATTAGTGCTGTGGCAGGGATAAGGTGATCTTATTTCATGGGAAGTAACTACAGGCCAGTTTCTCAAAACCAGCATGAGTCTATATTCTTGGAGATTCCATAGCGACACAAACTTAAATAAATACGCGTTTAGATGAACCTATCGATAAAGGTCACTTATCTATTCCTCTTCTGGACAGGTCGGACTGTATTATTAGCCTTCCTATTGCTTCAGAGTCTTTCCTTTCAGTTCCTTCTCGCCTCTTGACTTTGCTTTCCCAAACTGTCTGCCTTGCTGCTTCTTTGGCCCGAGACAGACTTAATCATTACTTCTGATATCAAACCTTTCCAAGCATATGACCTTTCTTACCCACTCTATTGCCTCAAGGTCTTTCCTATGTTTCTCGCCACCGTTAACTGGTTCAACCACACTGACTTTAACCTCCCTCATCCTCAATTGTTCTCTCAAGTTTATTGCTGTGCAAGTGAACGTTCTGAAAAACCGGTCTCTAAAGGCCGTCATTTTCTTTTCCCCTTTGGTGGTCTTTGTTGACAGTTGTACTGTATTCTTACCCTTCCTATCGCCTCAAGTTCTTTCCTTGTTTCTTGCCACCGGTAAGTGGTTCAACCACACTGAATTTAAACTCCCAAATCCTCTATTGTTCTCTCAAGTTTATTGCTGTACAATTGAATGTTCCGAAAAACCGGTCTCTAATGCCTCAGTCACACCTTTGTGTATTTGGCTTGCGTCTTGCTGCGTATTTATGGCAAGCGGTTTTAACATTTATTGATTTTTCTGTAGTAAAGCAATGGTAATTCTTGATATCAAGAAATAGGAATAAATGTTAGAACGGTTGCCATAAATATGTTTATTGCTGTGCAAGTGAACGTTCTGAAAAACCGGTCTCTAAAGGCCGTCGTTTTCTTTTCCCCTTTGGTGGTCTTTGTTGACAGTTGTACCGTATTCTTACCCTTCCTATCGCCTCAAGGTCTTTTCTTGTTTCTTGCCACCGGTAAGTGGTTCAACCACACTGAATTTAAACTCCCAAATCCTCTATTGTTCTCTCAAGTTTATTGCTGTACAATTGAATGTTCTGAAAAACCGGTCTCTAATGCCTCAGTCACACCTTTGTGTATTTGGCTTGCGTCTTGCTGTGTATTCACCCCCGTTTCTTTTGTTTCCCTTTTACTCTTTTTTGTCTTTTTCCGCCTTTTCTTTCTTTTCCTTTCTTTCCTCTCCTCCCTCTTTTTCTTTTTTCTCTTTCTTTCTTCTCTTATCTTTCCTTTCTTTTCCTTTCTTTCCTTTCTTTTCCTGTCTTTCTTTTCTTTTCCTTTTCTTTTTTCTTTTCTTTCCCTTTCCCTCTCTTTTTTCCCCTCCCCCTTTTCTCTTTTTTCCTGACGGCAGCGCAATTTTACCGACAATATCCTGACAGGTGGAGGGGTGTCGCACCCCTCACACACCCCCCTCCCCCTTGGCGACGCCCCTGAATGCGTGTTGAAGAACCCATCTAGAAAGGCCACCTGTCTGTAGTGGCCACATTTTGTTTTTCCTGTGGATGGCCTTATCAGATAGGTTTGACTGTATTTGTTTTTATTTCATATAAATTAGGAGAATTTGAAAAATTGAATCTAAAACCTACCGTACTTACACTACAAACACCCATTTTAGTATAATACCGTGGGTAAAGCAAGCTTATAGACTTTACGATGTAAATGCACAGACTAATGCATATTCATTTTTAGTAATTTGAGCTAGTTTTTAATTATTTAATTCTTTATAAATCTGTTTCTAGTCCTGTTTGGATGTTTGCCCATTCAGATTGAAAGAGACAAGATATCACAAAACAAAAAACATACAGCATGCAAATTGTTAGGCAAGTTAATGAAAATATGCAAAAAAGAAATTATGTCAGGCAGAAAAGAATGAACTTATTTCTTTTTCTATTATGAAGAAAGATATGATACACATTAGATTGGGGAAAAGACTGCTGAAACTATTTGAGGTTTACATTTATGGCAATGGTGAATAAATCAGGGCTCAAATTAATCCAAGGCCACCAAGGCCATGGCCGTGGATGCCCCTTTGATTGGCCTCAATGCCCCTCTCATTGGCCTTGGAGATTTTTTCAGCCCTTTCCAATTCTTCCTATTTGTGCTGTAATATAGGAATGTGCCCTTCAGAAAAGTGGCCTTGCCCTAAAAATATTAAAATTTTAGGCCTGATAAGTTATAGAAACTTCAGATTTATTGTTTGATTCCGTTACATAAGCTTTAGCATTTACAGTCCATGTATATCATTAGGGGATACAAAACATTTGTTGTTGTTGTTGTTGTTATCATTGTGATCAAATAAAGTGAAAGCAGCAACTTTCACTTTCTTTAAATAGCAAAAGGAAAATTATATATTTTGTTAAAATGAGGATTCACTCATGTAAAGACAGACTCTATACAGCAACTAAAATTTCTTTTAGGCGATCAGCAAGCATTTTATTTTATAGGACATTTTCAATGGTACATGTATTTGTTTTGTCTCAGAAACCCTGAGATTCAAGTTTGGAGAGCTTTTATTTCATTTCATTGATTTCACTCTCTTTTAAAAAACATCAAAATATATACATGTTTGTTCATTATCAACATAAGATAAAAGGAAGGATTATTGTAGGGTGGTTGCAGTAAAGTTTCACAATCTGAAAGCATTGAGTTTTGAAAGACAGTGCAAAGGTATGGATTTTATTTGTTTTATCTCAGAAACCTGAAAAATTTGCAGAGCAATTATTGTTGGGCAATTCCAGAGTGAGCAGATCTCATTTTAAATAGTGTCACTTTTGACAGTTTCGTTTGACACTCTCACAGATTGTAACGACTGTCCTCAGAGCACAGATGCTCTTTTTGAAAAAATAAATGACGGTTAAATTTGGAGTATTATATTTTTGTTAACCCATTGACTGCTTAATGTACTCATTCCCCTAGGTTTGTTATAAACACCACTCTGTTCTCATAACCGATGGGTTGAAGTAGGTATGCAAAATACGTGTATCACTGCCGAAAATATGTGTATCTATTCAAGGAAGAAGAAAAGAAAGGGGGGGGGGCAGAAAATATGAATATATCAGTTAAGGAGGCAGGTTGTTGGTGTTGTTCTTGTTCTTGTCAACATCACAGTTATCAATATCAGTGTTGTTGTCGTTGCCATCAGAGGTAGCGGTAATGGTGATGGTAGAGGCAGCTTTTTACATGTTTTATTTATATTTGTTTAACCACAGCACAGAAAGGGTTAAGCACTAGTGCTAAGGAGGAATGAAAAAAGACCTTATGGAGAACAAACTGCAATCAAAGAGGACAAAGACTACAATTCTATCTCATACGAACCTGCAAAAAAAAGTTCTTGCTATTTTAGCCTCTCACACCTAAATGTATTCTGCCAAGTGACCTTCCACCCCCTTTTTTTTGGGGGGGGGGGGACATTCATGGTTATTAGTCTGTGGTACTAATGAAAAAATTGCAGTATATAATATTCCCTAATAAGTTATCACCACTGTTATTGAATATTCAAAGCTTTAAAAGCTCCATAGGCACACACACAAAATGCATGTACCTAACTTTTTCAGGGACATATTGTTCCTGTAAGAAAGAGTAATTCTGAGTAAAATGGAAATAAACAGACCTGTATCTGCAGACAAATGAAATCACTATCATTTGTCAGTTTCATTTGACATAGATTTCATTGAGCAAAGCAGATCAGACATCACTCAAAAAATGATCGGCTCTCTATGAAGGCTGATTGTAGGGAGAAAATTTGTGAGTCTTCCTAAATTCAATCTCATTTGCCCGTTTATTGGTGAACAGTGGATTAGCCGACAAAGCTTGGGACTTGACTCGATATTTAGCCCGACACCAGTGAAAAAGAGAGAGATTGAGAAAGAGAAAGAGATTGAGGGAGAGAGAGAGAGAGAGAGAGAAAGAGAAAAAGAGACAAAAACAAAAGAAAAGGAAGTGTCTTGTGTATATATTAAGAAAAAGGGGGAGAAAGAGTCAAGAAACAAATTAGACCTCCAGAAACAAAGATAAGAGAGAGAAATAGATGGAGAGGTAAAAGGGGGCAGAGAAACACACTTAGAGATGTACAGAATCAGAGGGACAGAGGCAGAAAAAGACAAAGAGACGGACAAAAACAAAGAGAAATGGAGACAGGCAGACAGACAGAAACAATAAGAAAAGGGAGAGCAGAAAAGAGAGACTGTAACATGAAAGATGCCGACAGGTAAACTAACAACTAACCAAACATCACATAAGCTAGGCCCTGCTACGTGCTACCTATAGAGAGTTGCGACTGATTTGAATCCATTACAAGTCCAAACTAATATCTTAGGAGTACACAGCTGCCATCAATTCAAATTAATTGCAACTTTCTATAAGATTACGGCTAGGATCTTGGAACCAAACCCTAAATGTAGTAGTCAGGGATGCCAGTTAGAATTGATCAGAGGGCCTGAAAATCACCTAGAATAAGCTATTTTGTACACAAAAAAGCCTAAACTATGGTCTAAAAATAACTCACCAGGGCCTGAATTCAGGCTATTGCCTGAAAACTGGCATCCTTAAATAGTGCATTTCAACACATTCAACAGGGGTACATTCATGATAAAATCACTTCAAATTGTATTGATCAAATAACTTTAATAGAGAATCTTTTTTAAAGGAAGGTAAAAGTTTCTTTTACAAAACTGAAATTTGAATAACCACAGATAATTTTCACAATGTTCCTGTCATTTGCATTTGTACACATCCTAAATAGCCCCCCCCCCACCCAAAGGCCATTAAAAAAAAATGCTCATAAATTTACATCGCTATACTATACACGATTTATGTACATGATATGCATTGCACTTATCTGAACCTAGTCAACAATCATTCCGTTGAGTTTTGGGGATTAACTTTAAAAAAAAAAAATTGTAAGCAAATTTATAAACTCA